TCCAGGCAAGAACACTGGAGTGGGTTGCCATTTCCTTCTCCAGTGCATGAAAGTGAAAAGTAAAAGTGAAGTCGCTGAGTCGTATCCAACTCTTAGCGACCCCATGGACTGCAGCCTACCAGGCTCCTCCATCCATGGGATTTTCCAGGCAAGAGTACTGGAGTGGGGTGCCATTGCCTTCTCCAGATAAACCCATAGTTAAGTTTAAAATACTGTGTAACTGTTAAATACATTTAATATACCTAACCTACCCGTCATCTTAGCCTACCTCAGTTAAGTTCAATTCAGTCGCTTAGTCGTGTCTGATTCTTTGTGACCCCATGAATTGCAGCACGCCAGGCCTCCCTGTCCATCACCAACTCCCGGAGTTTACTCAAACTCATGCCCATCGAGTCGGTGATGCCATCCAGCCATCTCATCCTCTCTCGTCCCCTTCTCCTCCTGCTTCCAATCCCTCCAAGCATCAGGGTCGTTTCCAATGAGCCAACTCTTTGCATGAGGTGGTCAAAGTACTGGAGTTTCAGCTTCAGCATCAGTCCTTCCAATGAACACCCAGGACTGATCTCCTTTAGGATGGACTGGTTGGATCTCCTTGCAGTCCAAGGGACTCAAGAGTCTTCTCCAACACCACAGTTCAAAAGCATCAATTTTTCGGCGCTCAGCTTTCTTCACAGTCCAACTCTCACATCCATACATGACCACTGGAAAAACCATAACCTTGACCAGACGACCTTTGTTGGCAAATTAATGTCTCTGCTTTTTAATATGCTATCTAGGTTGGTCATAACTTTCCTTCCAAGGAGTAAGCATCTTTTAATTTCATGGCTGCAGTCACCATCTGCAGTGATTTTGGAGCCCCCCAAAATAAAGTCTGACACTGTTTCCACTGTCTCCCCATCTATTTCCCTCGAGGTGATGGGACCAGATGCCGTGATCTTAGTTTTCTGAATGTTAAGCTTTAAGCCAACTTTTTCACTAGCCAACCTTAAACGTGCTCAGAACTGACACATTAGCCTACAGTTGGGCAAAATCATCTAACACAAACCCTATTTTATAATAAAGTGTTGACTATCATGCAGTTTATTGAGGACTGTACTGAAAGTTCTAGAAGGTATTGTAGGTCATCAGAGAACCGTTCAACTTCAGCTTCTTAGGCATTAGAGATTGGGGCATAGACTAGGATTACCTGTGATATTGAATGATTTGCCTTGAAAATAAAGAGATCATTCTGTCATTTTTGAGATTGCACCCAAGTACTGCATTTCAGACTCTTGTTGACTAGGAGGGCTACTCCATTCATTCTAAGGGATTCTTGCTCACATTAGTAGATATGATGGTCATCTGAATTAAATTTGCATTCCAGTCCATTTTAGTTCATTGATTCCTAAAATGTCAATGTTCACTCTTGCCATCTCCTGTTGGACCACTTCCAATTTACCTTGATTCATGGAACTAACATTCCAGGTTCCTATGCAATATTGTTTTTTACAGCATCAGACTTCACTTCCATCACCAGTCACATCCACAACTGGGCAGTTTTCACTCTGTTTGGTTCTGTCTCTTCATTCTTTCTGGAGTTATTTCTCCACTCCTCTCCTGTAGCATATTGGGCACCTACCAACCTGGGGAATTCATCTTTCAGTGTCCTATCTTTTTGCCTTTCCATACTGTTCATGGGGGTCTCAAGGCAAGAATACTGAAATGGTTGCCATTCCTTTCTTCAGAGGACGACATTTTGTCAGAACCCACCACGACCTGTCCATCTTGGGTGGCCCTACACAGCATGGCTCATAGTTTCATTGAGTTAGATAAGGCTGTGGTCCATGTGATCAATTTGGTTAGTTTTCTGTGATAGTGGTTTTCATTCTGTCTGCCCTCTGATGAATAAGGATAAGTGGCTTATGGAAGCTTCCTGACAGGAGAGACTGACTGTGGGGAAAATTGGGTCTTGTTCTGATGGGCAGGGCCATGCTCAGTAAGTCTTTAATCGAATCTCACCCTGTTCATTTAACCTATATGCGAAGTACATCATGCGAAGTACCGGGCTGGATGAAGCACAAGCTGGAATCAAAATTGCCACAAGAAATATCAATAACCTCAGACATGCAGATGACACCACCCTTAAGGCAAAAAGCGAAGAGAAACTGAAGAGCTTCTTGATGAAAAAGGAGAGTGAAAAAGTTGGCTTAAAACTCAACATTCAAAAAACTATAAGATAATAGCATCTGGTCCCATCACTTCATGGCAAATAGGTGGGGAAACAATGGAAACAGTGTCAGACTTTATTTTCTTGGGCTCCAAAATCACTGCAGATGGTGACTGCAACCATGAAATTAAGACGCTTGCTCCTTGGAAGAAAGCTATGACCAACCTAGACAGCATATTAAAAAGCAGAGACATTACTTTGCCAATAAAAGTCCATCTAGTCAAAGTTATGGTTTTTCCAGTAGTCATGTATGGATGTGAGAGTTGGACCATAAAGAAAGCTGAGTGCTGAAGAATTGATGCTTATAAACTGTAGTGTTAGAGAAGACCCTTGAGAGTCCCTTGGACTGCAAGATCAAACCAGTCCATCCTAAAGGAAATCGGTCCTGAATATTCATTGGAAGGACTGATGCTAAAGCTGATGTTCCAATATTCTGGCCATCTGATGCGAAGAACTGACTCATGTGACAAGATCCTGATGCTGGGAAAGATTGAAGGTGGGAGAAGGGGATGACAGAGGATGAGATGGTTAGATGGCATCACCAACTCAAATAAACATGAGTTGAGCAAGCTCTGGAACTTGGTGATGGACAGGGAAGCCTGGCGTGCTGCAGTTCATGGGGTTGCAAAGAGTCAGACATGACTGAGCGACTGAACTGAACTGCACTGCACTGCAAGTTAAAAGCAGAATGGCTTATGTGAATCAAACTTTTTAAGTGGATCATCATGGAGTGGCAGACTGGGAGCTGCAGCTCTCTGCCACTGCCCAGCATCACCAGAGAGTAGTATACTGCAGATGGCTAGCCTAGGAAAAGATCAAGATTCAAAATTTGAAGTATGGTTTCTAACAAATGTGTCACTTTCACATTATCATAGAGTCAAAAAATTCTAAGTCAAACCACCCTAATTCAAGGTTCTTCTGTACCTGATATCTGAAGCCAGGGAACTGGATGAGGCCATGAAGGACTTAGTGATAAAGCTGGAACAGATTTTTCAAGTCACTTTCTCAAATTTCTTAAGTGAGGCCACTGAGTCGTGGGAAACAAATTCAATCCCAGATCACTGATCTTTTGGAATCTAAACTGGAACCAGAACTCAGGTATCCAATACCCAGGCTAGAGCCCTTTCCCAGATACTTCATTTCTAACTCCCTTTTAAGAGATTACATTCACATGACAATTCTAACTGGCTTTTTATGCCACAGCATATGCACGGCAAGTTTACAGAATTTCTGTGTCCTTGAAGAAGTTACCTTTACCTATTAGCAGAGGTGAAAGAAGTAATTATGGTCCACTATGTCTCCAATACATCACTTATTTAACAAACTGACCTGGCTTCCAAAGCAGATTTTGTTTCTAATTACCCTAGACCTGAATCTCATAACTCTTGTTTTTAGTAGCAACTTTGTGGCCACATGTCCATTTATACAACTAAGACTAAGACTAAAAAGCTACTGGTCAAAGATGTCATCTCTCAACAACCATTCTTGTCAATATAGTTTTAACTCATAAACATTTCAGATCCCTGAAATTTCTAAGTAAAAAGATTCTTCTTACTTATCCCAAACACTAATAAACTTCCATCTCCATTTGATACAATTCAACACACTTAAGCAAACTCATGTCTTCTCTTTGAAATATATTTGATAATGATCTACAAAATCTTCACAAATGGAAAGTGACAAAATGGAAGAAATATAACATGTAATCAAAAACCCCAAATGTCTTCCCAGGGACTGGGGAGGAGTGACAAATTCAAGAATGCTATCTAATCCTCTAGATATTAGATGTCTATGGACTTAGGGGAAAATGTGTGCTTATAATCTTACTCTGAGTCAGAGGAATAGACTTAAAGTGCTATACTTATTATCCATTATGGTGGTTCAAAATAAAAAGACCTTGTAATTAATCAAAAAAAAAAGGCATGTGTTTTTAATATCAAAGAATTAATCAAACAGACCATACAAAAAACTAGGGAAATGTAATACCAAATGACACTACACATATGCTTTATACTCTTTTAAGACAAACCTTCCAAATATGACAGTGTTAAGTTAGTTAAAAAAGGAGGTATTCCTATTGGGTTGCATTCCTCAGTCAATTTTTCAAAGCCCATTTTTATATCTAATCATTCTATTCTACTGGTTAAAAAAAATACTTCTGAAAATTGAAAACTCAAAAGTAAAAATTTCCAATTTTTAAGTTTGCTAATAAAAATTTTCAGAAAGATTTCATAAATACCTATTAATTTCACATGTATGAATCTTAATCATTACCTCCATTAAATATTTGTGCTAGAATAAAAATGAAAATACTGACTCAACGTGATTACCTTATGCAGCCCTTGTAAGTTAAAATGTGAAAACTTAACAGACAATTTGAGTTCTTCCATTTTATTTTTAAGATGGCTCCATTTCTTAGGACAGAACAATACAAATACAAGATGCAGTTCTTGGGGACTGGCTGAGACCACATTCATCTGCCCTCTTAAGCACAAGCTCAGCTCCCAAAAGATAAATCACAAAACCAAGAAGTTAGGAAAAAGTGTAGACTAGGAATTCTAATCAAACAAGAAAAATCAATTCCTGACACTGGCATTCTAATCATCGCATCAGTATTAATACAAACTCAATCCTTTCTAGTCAGGTAACCAGTCATTCCATTCCTAATCAAGTGGTTTTACAAACTGAAAAAGTAAAAGAATCACATGAAGGTGTAAACCAATATTCTTCCTTTAAAGACACTGCAATATAGAAATTATTTTTTATAAGCTTTTCTTCCTGAGTTCTGCAGGAGTCATGGTACCTCAGAGCCCCAATAATCAAGTAGTTCATGACAAAAGATAAAAGTAAAAAAGTAAACACAGAGATCTGTGAAAACTTCGCCCATTTTGCTGTAAGTATCCATTGATCGATTTATCACTTCAGCAGGAATTCCAGATAACAGAAGTGCAGCTGTTAGTACTGTTGTCTTTATCTTCTTTTCACTCTGCATAGAGAAAGACTTAAATAAATATTACAGCTTTCAGAAGACTACTTAAGCTCTATAAAAAACATCAGTGCTGTTATTTTTACCTAATTGATTTCAAAACTGTTAATGAAGTTTTAAGACATCAATGAACAATATATTAACAAACATTTACTGAGCATATAATATGTAAAGGAACAAACTGCTCGGCAATAAGGAAAAGACACTATTCTTGCTATCAAAAATTTCAAAACAAAAAAGTCCTAAAAAAAAAAAAACTCCTATCTTGGCAGTTAGGATATAAATAATAATTTAAGATACATACAAAGTTTAAGACAAAAACAGGAAAGCATTCCCAGACAGGACATAAATACTTGCTAAATGAATGTCATGGATAATGTGTGCTATAGTGGCTCAAAGGAGACAGACATTACTCCAGTATTTTATGTTCAAATAAAGCATAGAGAAGGATTTCAGGAGGAAGTAGAATTAAAAAGCAGGCCTTCAAATTAAAGAAGACAAAAAAAAAAAACCAGGCATTTGAGAATGAGCAAGATTTAGATGAGAAGTGAGTGGATAAATCCTATTGTAAGGTTAAGTCTCATAACAACAAAAGTCAGAAAAGTGATAGATGTTCTGGAAGACAGTCAATAATTTGTAACAGAATCAAAGGAACATTCTGTAGAGTCAACCCTAACTGCCATGCAAAGAATTCACGTTTTATTTCATATGTAATAGGATGTGTGTGTCTGCGCGTGCACAAGCTTAGTCATATCTAACTCTGTGACCCCATGGACTGTAGCCCTCCAGGCTCCTCTGTCTATGGGACTTTCCAGGCAAGAATACTGGAGTGGGTTGCCATTTCCTTCTCCAGGGATCTTTCCAAACCAGGGATTGAACCCACATCTCCTGTGTCTCCTGCATTGCAGGCAGATTCTTTACCACTTGAGTCATCAGGAAAGCCCCATGCAATAAGACACAAACATTTATTCATTAAACATTTATTTCCTAGTATAATTTTCTAGTCTCATTCCTTAAGAGATTCAAGGCTGAATTTTCATTTAATTTAATGATTTGGTATCACCAAATCCAATCACATGGTTCAAAAAATTTTTTAATATAAAAAGCTGTAGTTATCCATGGGAAATCAAAACTTATGTCCACAAAAAACTCATTCAGGAAAGTTCTTAGTGGCTTTAGTCATGCCCATCAATGGAAAATTAGATAAATAAGTGGAGATACTCAGTCAATGGAATATTACTCAGAAAAAAAAAAGACAATGATTCTACTGATGCACTCAACAATATGGATGAATCTCAAAAATACAATGTAGAATGAAAGAAGCCTTGCATGAAGAAGTATGTACTGGAACAATCCCATTTATATTAAGTGCTAAAACAACTAAAATTAATCTATGGTAGGAAAAAGAAAATCAGACATTCATGGTGCGGGGGCTGGGACTGCCTGGAAAAGAGCATGGTGGAACTTCCTGACAGTAATGTTCTAAATCTTGAAAAGGATATGGGTTTCACAGGTTGTCAAAACTCATTAAAGGTATAATAAAGACTTGAGCATTTCCATGTATGAAAATTTTACCTCAGAATAAAGAAAAAGAACCATAAAGAAACGCTGAATTTTCGTTGATATGTAAGCGGAAATGTGTAGTGGAAAAACATGCTGATGTCTTCATGTACAACATACTTTATAATGCACCAAAAAAAGAAAGATGCATTTAAAAAAAGTGATGCATTGAAGATGTATAGAAAACTGAGTAAATATATGATAAATATAATGAAATTTTCATTACAGAATCTAGGTGGTAACTAAACGGGTGTTAACGGCATAATTCTTTCGATTTTTCTGTTGAAACCTGTTACAGCAAAATGTTTTGTTAAAAGAAAATTGTACAGTAATTTTCCTTTTCACTTGCCCATTTACCTAGTAACTGAAACATACTCTATCATAAATAATGTTAATAATTTCATGTAATATTCTTCCAGAGTTTTTTTACACATACACAAGCAAAATCAAATACATGTAATTTTCCTCCTTTTTACAAAAAAAAGGAGTATACTATAGACGCTAGTCTGTATTTTTATCTTATCTCAGTATTTCTTGACAAGCTACCATTATCAGCACATGGAGACCTTTATCATTCTGAATGGATACACCACAATTTTTTTAAACTAGTCACTTATTAGTAGACATTTAGGTTGCTTCCAAACTCGTGCTACTGGAAAACTAAAATCAATGTTTCAAGGGCAAACATTTAAACAAATGTTTTAATTAAAGTTACATTCTTGGAGAGGATCAATAAATATATATATTTATATCATAAAAACATTTCAATTAAAATATGAAATTACTTATCCTTCTTTACTCTTGAGTATGTGACTATATGACCCCTCAAAAATATGTTTCAGATCTATTAAACACACACATGAGGTCCATCAGTGCATTGCAAATGACTAAGCAAACAGTCAAGTAGCCATTTTTTAGCAAAAATCTCACACAAAACACAATTACTCAAATAAGCTTATCTTCTATACTGGCAAGCCAAGTCCCATAGTATAACTATAGTCAAGTTGACCAGGCCAACACTGATACTCCTCATAATTCTGCTAAGTATAGCCAAGTGTTTTTTGCAAGTTTGGCATTAAAGATAAAGTGCACTGTTATTAAGCGCTCAGTAAGGACCACACTAACTGAAGATAACTGAAGCCATTTTTAAATTAACTTTCGCTATTAGAAACAAAATGTATTACTAAATTTACTAAGTAATTAAGTTAAATACTTTCTTAGACAAGTACTACTCAAACTCCATAATGAGGCTTTTCCCCCAGTCCATCATGGACTAACATTTTTTGTAAAATACAATAAAAATGTTACAATAATGCCAAATTGCTATAAAAGTTTCTAATTACTTTGCCAACTGAACTTAGTACAAACAGAAACAAATAGTTTGAAGATCCACAGTGGTGAGCTAAACAAATCTGAATAGCACTGATTTAAACCATAAGTATAAATACTTTTTTTAAAAGTTCTTAAAATCATCTAGTTGTTAATCAATCTAAATATATCACCCAATTTAGAAAAAAAAATGAATTTACCTTGGGAAAATATTTGTACAGTCCCATGTATGCGAGTTGTAACGTAAGAAAGGGAGCGAATATGGACTGTGGAGACAGAAGACAGAGTTACACACTGCCAACACAACCATTCAAATCACAATACATCAGACTAACAGCAGTGATAAAATTCCAAGGAAAAAAACCATAATAAAAATTTAATTTTAGTGGCTGAAAGCAGTCCTGTTTCTGCAAAAGGGTGACAAATACAGAGATTTGCTTTCCTTAACATAAAGCATGTTTCTCAAGTCATATTTTATGAGGGAGGATACTCTTTTGATATTCCCCAAAATGTCTTCTCTCTCAAAAACTGACCTTTTAAGTAATTTAAATTGTTAGGTGGCCACTGATGTATAATACATCATGCAGAAACATTCCTCTCATCTAGAGGTAATTAACGGACAATTTGAAAGTACATCAAAAAGGCTTAGTACTCAAAACAGATGCCATACATACCTCAGTCACACTGTGGGGCAAGAAATGAACTCATCTCTGGCCCTCACATAATGAGGTGTTTTTATTATAGATAAAATAGCTTGGTTATCTCGCTTCTCACACAATGAAACAGAAAATATCAAAATAATACTTCAGTTACATGTATTTCTAAAATAAAATATCATGAAGGGAGTAAAGGAGCAAGCATTACTAAATGGAACAACAGTAAGAGCAGTGATTAACAGCTGAAAATCCGACAGCAAGAAAAAAGTCCAGAAACCCAAAAAACCTCAAATAAAATGAGGCACAAAAATAGGACATAATTTTAAAAACATGGAAGTGCAGAGGCCTTGTAAAAGGAAAAAAACAGCAGCTATACATCTCACTAAATACTGAAAGCTACAATGACAATTTATCATCAGAAAAAAATAAAATCTGTTCAACAGAATTCTCTTTAAGAAAAACCTGGCATAAAGAGACTTTTAAAAGCTTTTTTGCTTAATAACATTAACCTTCATTATCTGAAAATTTACTTATGTGCCTGATACTTGGTAGGTATTCTTAAAATGTCTACTGAACGGAAACACCTCAAAGAGCAAGACACTGAACTACGAGCTGCGCTTTTCTTCTTTTCTTCACATACTGTAAAACACTAAAACACATCCTACCTTTCACTGAACAGCCACTGGCATGTAAGGGTATGTGATGGACTGCTATTATGGTAACAGTACAACATTATAAAATGCTGAATGCCTCTGAACTCTAAAACAATTACATCACGTTCAGGACCAAAACTGCATTTTAGTATTTCAAGTTATCTGAAAAGCAGTAATTAATATGTAGGATATGTAGGATATTTGGTTTTGGAATGAAACTGCCTGGGTTTAATCCCAGCTGTCACTTAGTAATGTGACCCTGTACAAATGATTTCACCTGAGTCTTCATTCCCTCATCTACAAAAGATTCAAATGATACCTGGCTCATAAGGATGAGGTTAACGAATTAATATATGTAAAGCACTTAGAATGGTACTTAGCATATAAAAAGATTTTGGCATTATTATCAGGCTCTGTATTTAACTGGAACACGTCATTCTGTACCTAAGGCAAACAGCAGTTTATAACACATCTCCAAACAGTCACATGGACCACAAATATTACGTAATATTAGAAATATATCTTATGGATTAAAAGCACTCATTAGTATAACCAATTTTCATTTTCCACTGTTTCTTACCAAATATTTGCAAACAAAGGCTCTAACTCCAAAGGCAAGAAGAGCACAGCCCACCAATCTAAATATTCGAAAAGAGTCAAATTCCTCTGTTGTATTTCCATCTTCTTGACTGGGCTTTTCACTAATCAGCTGTTTCCTTAGCTTCATTGCTTCTTCAAATCTGGAGAGGTACTGTTCCAGGCCGTGGCGAGAACCCCTCTGGACAGAGTCGGCTGTCAGGTCCCCTCTGCTCCGCTGCCGGAGCTCCAGGCTTCTGTCGTTACTGCTCTCAGAAGGGTTAACGAAAGAGTCCAGCGGGTCTCCCAGCTGAGTCCCCTTTACCTCGGCCACTCCACTCTGGTCAGTCGTTCCTGCACTGACTGAATCACCCAGCACTACTCGCTTTGAAACCGAAGCAATGGTGAGGGAGTTCAGTTTATCACTGTCCTGCTGTTTTGATTTTGTTTGACTTTCTTCTTCTGAGAAAAGAAATTTAGAAGCCTTAAGTATTACATACTGGCCAACATCTTTCTTATTAATGTTTAAAAATATGCCACTAGAGCTAAAATTTGGCAGCCTCTGAATTAATACTGATCCTTCATAAAGAAACAAATTCCTTCCTCTACACACACAAAATGTCAAAAAGAGTATTCTTTCAGAGGATATAACCCAAACTTTGGGGACAGAAGATAAAGCTAATAGACAAGTTGGGAAAGAGTTAGGAACGGAGATTTTCTAAAACCACTATTTTTAATATTACATTTCTGAATCCAGAGTCCGATCAGCATAGGGTGTGGCACATCCTACTGCTACCGGTTTGCGTAACCCTTCTACTGTAATCTAGGAGACATTAGAAGGAACTTCAGCAGTTTTAGGATGCCGTTCTGGTTTAAAACAAAACAGAGGGCGGGGGAACATTTAATGACAGATAAAATAAAAATCTCACAGCAAAAGAACAAAGAAAATGCTTTAGGAAAGAATATTCTGCTATTAACCATTAAAGGAGAAAATGTGTCTCCTAACAATTGTTCTAGAATTTGAAATATGGCTCTTACCTCTCTTGGCAGTTTTCAGTGGCAAATCTGTGAGCTGTCTAAAAATTCAGAATTATATATCTAAAGCCCCACAGAGCAAAAGTCACAAGGATCTAAGGAACTTGCAGCCAGTGATGAAGGCCAAATATCAGAGGCAACACTAAATGGAAATTTAAGAGTACAGTAAATACTCACAGGAAAATAAAATTTTTTAAGAACCCATCGTACACGTCATTGGGGGAGAAATGAGGAACTCCTTTCAGTGCTGAAGGCAGTTTCTGACATCATTCATATCAATCTCTGCACATTACGAGATAAGGCCTCAGATGGGCATGTTTCCCTTGTTGGGTCTCTAAAGAATAGTCGCTTCAATTTTTTTTCACCTGCAGATGACAGTGTTGAGGGCACCGCACACAGACACCAGGATATGGGTCCGTGATTCACTTCGGACGAACTACAGGGGTGGCTCAGTAAAGACAAGCTCATAGGGGCCGACAGAGCAAAAAGAAGGCAGACGCTAGGGAAGGCACTAGAAGGGAAAGCATTTACAAGGGAAAGAAAGGCAGGCAATCTTCCTGACGGGCACCGTGGGTAGAGCAGTCTGGGAATGAAATGTGCGCCCTTCAAGAGAGGCGAGGGGGTGACGAGGCGGGGGTGGGGGGGAGGGCCGCCTCAGGGTTAGTGAGCAGAGGGTACCACGGCAGTGGGTCTCAGGATCGAGAGCATTGCCGTTTGCGGCGGAAAACTGAGGAGAGAGACGAGAAACGTCCTGCGGTGAAGAAGTGAGAACCTGGGAACTCATCAAAGGGGCGGGGCCCGAGGAGAGGTCAGAGAGCAGGGCTTGGTCAGAAAAGTCAAGGGGTGGAGGAGGGAAAGGGAGAATGATCCCCAAGACTCAAAAGGGATGAGCAGGAGACTATGGGGAACGAAGGTTCTCACCCGCGCCGCTCCCGGGCCTGTGAAAGCCCATGATTCGGTTGATGCGCTGTTCCGAGTTCATGAGCAGCTTTCTCCGCCGCAGCTCCGCCCGACGCTGGGAAGCCGACAGGGGCCGGTCCCCGCTGTCGGTAGCGACGGTGACCGGCTCCATCTTCCCCTCCACTGTCCAGGAGTGGTGACGATGACGTGAGCGGCAGCCGCGGCGCCCAAGACTTCAGACTGGGCCGCAGGCCGCGCGGGCCCCTACCTCTGTGGACCCGCCCCCCAGAGCGCAGGGCCGCATATGCAGCGTAAACGCGCGCGCCGCCTGTCGGGACCTAGCGCGAGCCTTGAGCCGCCATCTTGAGTGAGGGCAGCCTTGGCCGCTCTAATTCCTTCCACCTGGGCTGGTCCTCAATGCTCCTCCCCCGCCACCGGGCCGCGTTGCCGTTCACTCGGAGGTGAAGAAACCCGGCATCCAGTCTGACTCACTGGAAACGTGTGAGCGAGGAATAGACTCCTCCTACCTGATGCCAGGAAGCAAAATGGAGCCTGCACTGTCAGGCACTGGTTTCCCGTGACCTTCTTCGGGCTCGCTTAGAGGCGTCGGGAATACGTAACTTCGAGAGCGACGCCTTATGGAGCGTTGCGGCTGGGATTTGTTCTTGGTGCTGATTCCTCATCTTCAGCGGTGCTTCTACCAAATGCATGCCTGTTTGATGAAGACCTTCCCAGTGAAGCCTTCCCTGTTCACTCTATGTTGTCGCCTCGACTCAACAGTCTTTGTTCTCCTTATCTGCCCTTTGTCCTTAACAGTTATAACTGTCTCTCAAGCTAAATGTACTTTTATTATCTGCTTCTCACTTCGTAAAACATAAGCTCCATGAAGACAATCACTGTGTTCTTGTCTAGGGCTGCAGTTCTTAGAACAGTGTGGGCCCTCAACGGGGGTGCCTTATACATTAGGCCATGTTGACAGTATACAATAGGGGCCCAAGAAGATATTTTAATTTGAATTTTTTATTGAAGCAAAGTTGATTTATAGGGTTGTGTTAGTTTCCAGTGTACAGCGAAGTGATTGGTATATACATGTGAAAGTGTTAGTCCTTCAGTCCTTTCCAACTCCGCAAGCCCATGGACTGTGTAGCCTGCCAGGCATCTCTGTCCATGCTATTCTCCAGGCAAGAATGCTAGAGTAGGTACCATGTCCTTCTCCAGGGGATCCTCCCTACCCAGGGATTGAACCTGGGTATCCCGCGTTGCAGGCGGATTCTTTACCATCCGAGCCACCATATGTATGTATATATGATGGGCTTCCCAGGTGATGCGATGGTAAAGAATGCATTCCAATACAGGAGACAAGCAGGTTTGCTCCCTGGGTGGGGAAGATCCTCTGGAGTAGGAAATGGCAACCCTCTCCAGTTGCCTGGAAAAATTTTATGGACAGAGGAGCTTGGCAGGGTACAGCCCCTGGGGTCACAAAGAGTCAGACACAACTGAAGCAATTGAGCAGGGCAAGGCAAAAGGGCTCTGGCACATCTCAAGAAAAATTTCCCCCGGTATCAGAGCTTTACAAGGGCAAGTCCATCTCCATTTTTAAAATTTTTGTGTATGTTATTTTTTGCTTTCTTTTCCTTTAAAAATCTTTAGTTTTTCTGCCATTAAAAAAAATTTTGACCACTCTATCCCATCCCTAGCATTGAGAGCACTAGATTGTTTACCTGAATAGTTGCACAAATTTTTCTTTTAGAGGAAGTGTCAAAACTTGGCATTTTCAATGAGTTAAATAGATATAAAACTATTTAGGCTTATTTGGTATGTACACACATATACATGTATACTTCCCTATATTCTTTTTAAAATTCTTCTTTTCCATTATAGTTTGTTATAAGATACCAAACAGTTCCCTGTGCTATACAGTAAATCTTGGCTGTTTATCAACTTTATATATGAAAGTGTGCATCTGTTAACTCCATTACTTCCAATTTACCCCTCCCCTGCCTTTTCCTCTTTGGTAACCATAAGTTTGTTTGTTTTCTAAATAAGCTCGTTTAGTTTGAATTTGTTTTAAATGAGAAGGAAAACGTTGCGATGATTTATATATAATGATGAATCCAGCCTGGATGGTGGTCATTATCATACTGACACAGTCATGAAGTATAATTTTAAGTGTGCTTTTATAGAGGAAGCAGCCCACAAAAGCAAAGTACCCACAGCCCACAAAAGTTGTAATGCAGCCCTGGTGTGCAGTAATTACTAAGTGAATGAGTAAATGAGTGAACTGAATCCTTGTCAGCTCTTGAGAGGATGCCGTGGTCAGATCACTTCTGAGGCTGCAGAGGGTGAAGCAGCCCAGTGTGTCCCCTGCAACGTCCCCTCCTATGAAGCCTGCTACATGAGCTTGCTCCAAGTCAGGAAGCCTGTGAAACCCTGACTAGATAGAAGGTAATAAAATACTATTTTTAACTGTTTAGTCACTTGACCCTGTCCCAGACAGAAAAGGATTTTGAAAAAAAAGTGTAAAAACAAATGGCAATCTTTTTTTGGATTCAGCAAAAAAGGAGCTCAAGTATAAACATTGAAATGAACATTTCCTCTTTGTTTGGATGCTAGCTGAATCTCCAGGGACATGCCCGAGTTAGTAATTTTAAAGCACTAGGAAAGTTTTCCTTGCCTATCTGTACAGATCTACATCTTCGAGGCCCAGACTGTGCCTTTAAAAATTCTACAATTGAAAAAAAAATTCTACAATTGAAATAATTCCTAGTAATAAATGTGCAGAACTTGATAAAGTTCTGATAAGTCATGATCAATTACAGTTTGGGGACTTCCCTGGCAGTCTAGTGGTTAACACTCCACTTCCACTTCAGGGGGTGTGAGTTCAGTTGCTGGTTGGGGAACTAAAGTCTCGCATGCCTTGTGGCAAAATAAACAAATACAATTCCAGGGTAAACAGGTTTTTTTTCACTTGTGATAGCATATAGAAACCAAGATTTTGATTTAGATAGATGTGTTGATGTATGATGCTGATGAAGTCAGGTAAGAATTTAAAGGGTCAAGATTTCATATTACATGCTTATTTCTGGGGAACTATTTCTCTATGCCGTTTCCATAGTTATTAAATTTCCTAGTGCTTCTCAGTGGTATGATTCCTTGCTAAATGATGTGCATACTTAACAATTCTTGTCTCCCTTACTACAGAACTTTACAAGGGCAAGTCCACATCCATCTTTAATTTTTATGTGTGTTATATCTTGATTTCTTTTCCTTTAAAAGTATCTATGTTTTTCCCCATTAAAAAAAAAGATTGACCACTTTTACCCCATGCCTAGCACTGAGAGCACTAGATTAAACTTACCTGCATAGGTGCACAAATTTTTCTTTCCGATAAAGTGTCAAAACTTGGCATTTCAATGAGTTTTATGTGATTTTTATTTGACCCTAGCATTGTTAAGGTAGGTTAATATTAATACTTTATCGACTAACTGTAGCTACAAAGCTGAATGGATTGAGTCATAAGTAATAAAATAATTCTGATTCTGGGGTTAAAAGTAGGCAGTAAGTTCATGCTTGGACACCTCTCTACTACACACAGCAATCAGTAACATTTAAAAACATAAACGGAAAAAAATAGGACCTCAAAAACAAGAGAAACATCTCAGCAGATCCGAGTATCTGAAACATAGCACAGTGTAGCTAGACAGGTGCCTGTTGGGCTACAGATCCAGAAGCAGGCAGTGAGGCACGATCTATGTGTAAGAGGAACTCAAAGTGTTCCACATGAGACAAAGGGATGGACAGGACAAACTCACTGCTTGAGGACTGTCTGTGCATGCTAAGTCATGTCAGTCATGTCCCACTCTTTGCAACCCTATGAACTGTATAGGCTATACCTGCAAGGCTCCTCTGTCCATGGGATTCTCTAGGCAAGATATGAGGTCTGCCCTCCCTGAAAAATATTCAAAATATCATTTTCTATTGGATTTCAGCTTAATAAATGAAAAAGCAGAAGACAGGGCTGTTGACTTCCCACTGTTGGTGACTAGAATGGTGATATCCTCAAATCACTGCATAATAAGAACCCTAAAACATGACCAATAGCCCTGATTTTTGGAAAATGCAACTGGAAAACCCATAGACAGGGAGAGGGAAAGCTTGGACAGAGATGTGCTAAACTGAAAAGAATAACCCTCTCAATCAAATGAGCCTAGAAATCCAAATTCTAACAAACATGAAAAACAAACATTCTAACAAACATTTAAATTCTGCCACCCAAATTAAAAATCAGAATTGAAATTCACTCCAGAATTTTATGTGTGTTAGTTGCTCAGTCGTGTCATACTCTTTGTGATCCCATGGACTGTAGCCTGCCAGGCACCTCTGTCATTGGGATTCTCCAGGCAAGAATACTGAAGTGGGTTGCCATTTCCTTCTCCAGGGGATCTTCCCAACCCAGGGATTGAAGTCAGGTCTCCTGCATCGCAGCTGGATTCTTTACCATCTGAGTTCCTAGGAAAGCCACCCCCAGAATTTTATAGAACAGCTTTAATACATTACTGAACAAAACAGGCAGAAATTAATCAAAAATAGTTACACAAATATAAAATTCAATAGATGAAATGAAACTTCAACTGGACGTAGTCACAAGCAGAATTAGTAAAAACATACATCAAAAAGGAATTCTGAAGGTAAAGAATAGAGGGAATGACTGAAGCAAAAACTAAAATAAACTCAAGAGTAGTGAAACCATTGCGCTTTCCAGGCAGCTCAGTGGTAAAGAATCCTCTTGCCAAGCAGGAGACACAGGTTTGATTCCTGGGTCGAAAAAATCCTGTGGAGCAGGAAATGGCAACCCACTCTAGTACTCTCACCTAGGAAATTGCATGGACAGAGGGCTACAGTCCATAGGATCAAAAAGAGCCAGACACTACTTACTTAGCAACTAAACACAACAAGTAAAACTACTACAACTATAGCATATTAAGGATAAAAGAAAAATCATAAGAGCTGATTATCTTTCAAATAACAATCAGACTTACAGTAGACATCATATCAGTAACAAAAGGGACACAAGACAATAGAGTAGTACCCTAAACATATTGAGAATTAAAAAATAAAAAATTTTAAACCCTTTCAATCTAGAATTTTAAACCTAGCTGTTCTTGAAGAGTGAGCATCTAGAATTAGGATTATGAAATCCCAGACTCTGAGGTTTAAAGCATCTTCAACAGGATTTTTCCATTGACTTAATTTGGCTGTACAACACAGAACTACTCAGTGACTGTCAAGTTATTCATGTCAATTTAAATACATAACCACAGTATGAAGCTCTTTCAATTAACTTTATTGAATAGCCAAATCGATAAGTTAGCACAGTTCAAACGATTATTTGCATGGGTTACAAATGACTTTTTTTTTTTCACAGGAAAAAAACAGTGAGAATTACAAACTGTAAAAAGGAAGACATCTTGTCTCTAACATTTCAGAGAAGCAAGATATAACACAGCACATTGAAGATCAATACATATTTGAATTTGAAAACAAGAATTTAATGTTACAATATTATACACTACTTTACAAAATTAAAATTTCTACATAAGGATTATACTTGTAATAGTTAACAAAATCCTGAAATCACATTTGGTGGTCCCCTAGATAACAGCTGTTATGCATCTTTGATTAGAAGAAAAATCTTTTATTCTAATTATTGTAAAACAGTCTATTAGATTCAATACATTACATTAAATTAAAACAATGAAATATAGGCAAACTAAAATAAATGGTACAGCTTGAGTGAATATTAATGTGCCAGACTTACAGAAATGTTATTTTAAAAATCCTAGAAATTAGAAAAATAGAGTACTTTTTATGGTAGAACTGCCACTCAGATTTAAATACCAAGATTGCCCTTGTCAATTACTTTAGTAGTTGTAGATCTGTAGAAAATTCAAGGATCTTTCATAATTTACAACTACAATAAAAAAAATATGGCATAGTGTAAATATTAGTTGCTTTACATCAAAAAGTAATACAAGATGAGATAGCAGGTAGTGCCCTACTTGAAAAAAAAAAAAACTAAACTAAAAAACATTCAATATTGCAAAAAATATCAATATCTCCAAAAGATTCATTCATTCCCTCATTACTGAGAGAACAAATATTGTGAATTCTTACTAAAGTTATGTTTTTTATGACCTGGCTATTATAAAATTATTCTGGATTGCACATGTTATGCAATATCTAAAATAATTTTTTAAAGTAAATTTGTGAAATATACCAACAAAGCATGTGGTAATAACAAGAGTCATACCCACTTAGGGATGAAAGTGAGGCACAAGGAAGATTACTGTCCCTAGGAGCACAAACTTTCCCCTCTGGAAGATTCATTACTATTATTAAAAAAGGACCTACAATATCAACATTTAAAATTCACATTATGAACAGAATTTTAGTTATTTTAAGAAACATCAGTGCATAATAATGACTCTCAGTTTCTTTAGAAGAGGGGAAAATAGAAATGTATTCTAATTAGCTACAATTTGAAAATTGCTTTCTAATAAAGGAAGCAACTTTCAAGAAAATTTCCAGTTCAATGTATCACTTCCATACTGAAAATAAACCTTAACACTGCTTAAGGGAGATAATATTTTTATAGAACACAATTATTCTGATCTGGTTGGCAAGCAGTAGTATATACTCTAGTGGGACCTACTTCTTCCCTACCCCAAAACAATTCAGTTAAAGTCAGCTCATATTGATGTAAACCTCAAAGTTACTATTTCATTGGTGATCATATAAGATCAAGATTGTAAACACATTTTTCTAATCCATTAAAACGAAGAAACAAAAATCTTTTCATCAAGTACTACTCATGAACAACTTTTACTTCAAGAAGTTCATACAAGACAAGATGAATCTGTGAAAACTGGACCAAACTCTTTTTAAAGATATTCTATCACACCACCTTAAATATACAGATGTATAATTTACCTATTTGTAAACAAAAGTCACTTAATAGTTTTTACTATGATATTTCTCTGGCCAAATCAAAAAGCAGTATCTTGAGCATGTTCAGAAATCAAGTTTCTTTTATAACCTCCATATATCAGACTTGTGTGATCTTAATAACCACTAAACCAAACAGCGGCATTCATGCTTTATTAAGCTTTAATATTAAGAGTAAATCTTATGAGCAACTTCCAATTTATTTATTAAACTCCTTAGAAAATGTTACTGATGAATTTGAGACAGCATTTAAGAAATCTTTAATTTCTTTCATTCATACTCATTTCACCAATATAATGCTTTTATATTATACATCACAGAGCAGAAATGTACCAAATAAAACCCACTTAAAGGATCAAGATAACTAAGTTTCTCATCTCCCTATTATTGCCAGTCCCAGCGTATTTATGAAGACAGCTCAGATTTTTTTCACTGCAGAGTAAGATAGTGTGTCCAACCAAGTCTTCTGCAGTCGAATCAGAAAACCACCTAGAGTTTTCACTCTAAATCAGTGACTTTGTTCTTCAAGTATAGAGAATACTGACAAAGCTTGACTGTATTACTTCATATTCTTCTCAAGCTAGACTAGAGTTAATTTACTCTAGTTTTAGTTAACATGATGATCCTTTTTCTTCCTTTAAAAAAAAAAGCAAAACTCTGGGGGATGGGTACTAGTTTTCCAACTTATTATTTACTTCAAAAATCTTTTTATTTTAAAAAGATCATTATCAATGGATTTGTAACTTCTCCGCAACATTTAATCTTGTGAGGTTTTAAATGTAGCAGCCAAAAATTCAGAAAAAAATGAGAAATATACATTTGGAACACAGAAGTCTTTATTTTACAAAATGTACTTTGCCTCTGTGATACTGTCTTATTTCAATCCATAACAACTCAAACATAATTGGCAGCAAAGAAAAAAGATAATTTGTGTGATCATATGCAGATATATTTTGATTTGAAAAATACAGTATTTCAGAGTTGCATGTTTGATTCTCTGCTGTGTTCCTTTATTTGCTACAGTTTGTTGAAATCACAGTGAGAACATATAATCATCACATTAGTCCACAAACCTAATAGGAAAGGAAGGTATTACACATTCTCAGGTGTTCTGTGTTATTGTGACTTTCCTTTGAAATTATTAAGTCGAGTATCTTCATTTGTTCATTTATTCACTTGCTGTTGTATATGCAAGAGGAATTCATAATATGATAATGCAGATTCTGTTCTGTCTTCTACCATGTTTTGAAGGAAGTTTGCTTTCATTGGACTCTCATCCCTTAGTAATAAAAGACAAATATTTATATATATTAGACGAAATGTAATAGTAAAATACACAGTGGATTTGTCACAAAGCTTTGACATCTATTTTGCTAATAAATGGATATAAAGCATAACTTAATACTACTAACTTATACTATTTATTAAAAATAATTTTTTTTTCTATATCCTTCTAAAGAGTTTGCAATAGGTTATACATACCTATGATTCAACTCAAAGGTTTCCTTGTGAAGCCAAGCAAACTGCTTTAGTGTTGACAAATGACAAATTCAACTTACCTTATTACATAAAGTATTGGGTAAAATGGTCTCTGCTCTCTAAGCCAAGAGATGAAAGCTATTGTTCTGGCAGATTCTGGTGTATCAAGTTCTGGAAGGTCTGTCTATTAAACAAAAACCAGCAACATACAACTTACTCTAAATTATCATCTATAATACTTTTCAAACTTTATCTTGTATATGAATCACCTGAGGATCTTACTGAACTGCAATTGATTTAGGATGTCTAGGGAGGAGCCTAAGATTCTACATACCACAATTTTCTCCCTACCCCTAAAGGGTAGGCAGACTTTTTAAAGGAACAGATAATAAATATTTAAGGCTTGCAGGTCATTTGGTCTCTGTTGCAACTTCTCAACTCTGCCACTGTTCCATTGAAGCAGCCACAGACTATACTATAAGTAAATGCACATGGCTATGCTCCACTGAAACTTTATTTACAAAACCAGGTGGCAGGCCTCCTTAGGCAAAGTTTGTCAGACACTGATCTAGAAGAATATGCTACCTCTTATCTTCAGTTTATTATGACATCTAGAATCTAGATCCATTCACACAGTTATTACAAATATAAGAATTTCTTATCTCCTCATTACCTAAAGTGCCTAGTCATCCAGATCAGCCATTAAGCTAGTGCTTATCCTAGATAGAACCCTATGTCTTTTAAATACATAAATGTCCTAATGACTTCTATAAATGAAGTTAAACCCATAAATATGACCAAGATGCGGACATAAAATATATTCCAAAGTTGGTGACAAACTGATAGTTGAAACTGAAAACTATGACATGAAATAAGACCATGTTATAATTAATTCTAACTTTAAAATTCACAACTATCCAAATGTTACATAGTTTAACATGTGCTTTCTTATGTGTTGTTTCAAGTATTCCCCCATAAGCAATAGCACTCTTATTCTACAAATGAGGCTTTTAGAGAGTGGGTGACAGAGTCCAATATTACATTGTCCAATAATCAATATATATCCAACTGATATTGGTCTCAAGTTGTTGGTTTGTGTGGCAGTTAGCTTAGTTCTTACTCTAAAGCAGCAGTTAAAAGGGCTCTGCCAAAGAACAATGAAATCACTTGCAAAAAACACAAAACACAGAAACAGAAGAGCCCTAACACTAATCCCAACTGCTGCCAACAGCAGCAAACATTTTTTGGCCATTAACTACGTTCATTACTTTCTCACTAAAACAGAATACACACATAAGAACAAGCAAGTCAAAAATGCAAAATAACCTAAAGAATGCCTCTAAAATACAGCTATGATTTCAAAATAGGATGTCCATGTTTTTGCCATCATTTGAAACGTCTTTTAAGCCTATCACAATCACTATAATTACACAGTCTTACCATGGTCTGTGGAATTAATGCATAGTTTTCAACTCCTAGAACTTGGCTGAGAAAATTCTGTCCACAATTTCTTCCAACCCAAAGCATTAGTACCTGGAGACAGAAAGAAAATTATTTTGAGATATAGCTTAACAGTGAGATATTGACTTAACCTTTAACCACTGACTGTGTTTCAAAAGATCAAAAAGGGTAAATCCATCGCTGATTCACATCAATGTATGGCAAAAACCACTACAATACTGTAAAGTAATTAGCCTCCAACTAATAAAAATAAATGGGAAAAAAAAAAAGATCAAAAAGGGAAATTAGCTTACCGAGACTGTATAGCCTCTAACTAAAATAATGAAAACTACTATTTACCATGACAGGACATTGTGTGCTCCGCATGCAAGGAGACTATGGAGGAGAAGGTGGCAAATACAAAACTATATAGATTAAATAACACATAATCCTTTAAGAGAGAAACTAAGGGGAAAGAAGGTAGTACTGTACAGAGAGAAGCCAAGACTACTCACAGAACCTGCATCCATGAGAAAGGCCCCATCCCTGCTCAGCTTCTCCACTGAAAGCTGAAGAATAGGCGGCTGAGGTATAGTGCGATCATTGATGCTGATTGCTCCCTTAAAAATTTAGCAAAAGATTAAAGCTTTTAGATAACTATTAGGGAGCCACAATTAAATAATAAAAAGAAATTTAATGAGTGTTACCTTTGAGATTCTGGAATTTATTTAGGTAAATCACAATTATTCATATTTAAACATAAAGACGAGGAGGAAATATGTATCATTTATCTAAACAAAGCCATCATGATCCCAGTCAAGCCAACTTACTTTCTGATCTTAATTTATTATTTTAAAAACTAATACAATAAATGTAATCAGTATTCATGTCTCCTATTAGATAAATTACATTAATGAGATCCAAATAAAGTCTAGAATTTAGTTAATGATAACAGATGATTGTGTGGCTTAGATCATATACACATCCTGATGTAACAGTAAATCTAATGCAAATGAATTTTCATTAGTTCTCTTCAATTAACATTTACTGAATAAGGCCAGAAATGGAAGTTTCTCATTTATCACTGACTATAATACCGCTATCTTAAAATATACACCTTTAATTATTTGTAACTATTCATTTTTGACCAAAATTTGATTTAAATACTAAAATTTGGTACTTAATGAATCTTATCTAAGGGAGAAAGTAAATAAAATACTGACTTATCAAGGGGTACTACCAATGAGAAGGTTTTAGCTCTACTAGGACCTTAAGACCTTAAGTACCTTAAAGTACTTAATCACAGTACCTTAAGACCTCTGGCCTTAGGGCGTGTGGGGAACAGACTATAGCCCAAATACAGCCAATCAGAAATTAATGTGAACTAAGAAAAGAAAGCCTTGTCCTTCTCTGGTGTTAAAGATGGGATGCTATCAATGGCTCTGTTTTCTAGTCTTATATAAAAGGCTGGTCTGAAAGAATGAGGGAATGCAAACAAGAGTCTATGAATTTGAGTTAGACCTGAGTTTAATTAGACCCTAGCCTTTCCTGTGGTTTGTGTTTGAGTACCACATCAGTCCCCTTTCTTTCCTAAGCTCACTTGCAAAAGAGAGTCCTGATAAATATACCATTGAAAATCTTAATAGTGCTTGTCTCTGAATGTATGAACTATGAGTGATTTATTTTTCTCCAAGTGGTCTCCACATTATAGACGTCTAACATACTGCATTTATATTTTTATGTTAATTTTCCACTTTTCAATTTGAGAAAAATATAGGTCCAGTTAGTTGAACTTGTCAAACACAGGAGTAATCTTAAGTCATTATTTTTGTAATACAAATTAATGTCATCAACAATTTTCATTTGCTAAAAAGTTATCTCCTTCATGTATGCAAGGTACCTTAAAATATTTAAACTGAAATGTTTTTAACCATAGTATTACTTCTAACATATATATCCTAACTTAATTACAATGTATTGTAGAAAGATTATGATTTAACATTTTCATGCTTGCAGCTTTAACTCTAGTAAATTTCCTATCAAGGGAAAATAATGTTACAACTTAGACAAATATTTTCTTTTCAATTCAAGAATATTATTACACTAAACAGTGACTGGGCATTCAAGTGTAATTTCACACTGGATACTCCTTTCAGATCAACCTGTTTAAATATTTATTTAAATAAGTCATAGGTTGCTCTTGGAGAAGGCAATGGCACCTCACTCCATTACTCTTGCCTGGAAAATCCCATGGCTGGAGGAGCCTGGTAGGCTGCCGTCCATGGGGTTGCGAAGAGTCAGACACGACGAGCGACTTCACTCTTACTTTCCACTGTCCTGCATTGGAGAAGGAAATGGCAACCCACTCCAGTGTTCTTGCCTGGAGAATCCTAGGGACGAGGGAGCCTTGTGGGCTGCTGTCTATGAGGTCGCACAGAGTCAGACACGACTGAAGTGACATAGCAGCAGCAGCAGCAGGTTGCTCTAGTCAATTTGACAATGTCTTCATTTACTTAGATCTCTCTAAAGATTTGTCTTAAACAAACAGTAAAGTTTATTACTTTAACAACTAGGTACTATTTTCAGGAGCTTCCCAAAGCCAAAATTTCTTTATATAAGAATAAAATGAAAAGCTTTAAGAAAGAAATCACCTTTCTTCATTTCTTCAATGAATTCAATATAATTAGGCTTATAAACATTCAAGTAAAAGTGCATAAAAAATGATCAATCTTACCTCATCTGAGAGATTGTCAACTCTATACAAATTGGGATGAGTTGTGAGCATAAGGTAAACCAAGGGCTGATTTTTCACTTGACACATAGCAAAAATGCGTTCATCTAGACGTGCATTTGTCCCAGTCTGAAATGATTTCTATAACAAAAAAATATACCCATCAGAAAAAAGGTATTTAACAAATACATATAAAATTTTGCAAATATCAGCTGTTAAAAGAATATATTCAAACAGAATTAACAAATGTACTGCTACTTGTTCTTACAAAAATATATCTTAATCAGTCACACACATCTATTAAATTGTGGCTATATCCTCACCTAAAAGTCTTGACAAATTAATTATCTGACCATGGCAAAATCATTCCATCTCTCTGGCATCTGCTTCCTAACCGAATCTAAACATTCTATCTGTCATAAAGCAATAGTAATATAAAAATCTAAATAACAGGACAAGAAGGATAAAGTTACACTGCAGATGCCAAAAAAAGGCATATGAAGTATGAAGAACCAAAGATATAAGTATTCTGTAAAAGCTGAGTGATGATGAATGGTGGTTAACTATCCTCATTTCTCCCACAGCTAGAGAAATTAAATAATGTATAATAACAAAGCTCACAAATCAACCAAGAAAATTAGTAATTTGAAGACAGCTACTTAGTAGAATAGAGTTAACAAGTAATTGTCAGTTTCAACTGGAATATTAGCTCCATGAAGACTAAATTCAGAGATAAGGTTTTGGGCACTTCTATTGATGGAAAGGAGTAGAAAGAGGCAGAGAGATAACAGCAATGAAACTTTGATTTAAAACAAATGCACTGACTATAAGTAAGGAAGATTAGAAAAGGCTGTTAAAGAAAGAATACTATAGGAAATGAAAGACATTCCATTTATTCATTCAAAAACTACTTACTGAGTGCCTATGGGCTTCCCTTGTGGCTCAGCTGGTAAAGAATCCACCTGCAACGCAGGAGACCTGGACTCGATCCCTGGGTTGGGAAGATCCCCTGGAGAAGGGAAAGGCTACCCACTCCAGTATTCTGACCTAGAGAATTCCATGCACTATACAGTCCATGGGGTCGCAAAGAGTCGGACACAACTGAGCGACTTTCACTTTCTCTGGTTCCATCTGTCCTGGGGTTCTACACTTACTATTCAGAAGCATTAATTACCCTGAACTCTGTCATCTAATATTTCACACCAGAAAGCCTGCAAATTACTGGTGTTTTATTCCTTATGCATGACACTAAAGGTCACCTATCCTTAGGCTAAAATAATAGGGAGTGCACCATGTGCATGCCTCTTCTTCCAAGCTTTGTTTCTCCTTACATACATCCTCCAGATCCTTTAGGTAGTTAATTTTTTGTATTTTTTCCTTTAGGTAGTTAATTTTTTGTATTTTTTCCCAGAGTTTAGAAATTGTTATCTATGAGAAAGAGGTTCACAAGACAAAACTTTTGGCTACTGACACTTTCACTGTGTAACGTTTCTGGTTTTGATTCTTTTACCTGTTTAAGGAGAGCCAGCACAAACAGTGGGAAAAGCCGAAGAGAGAAAGGAACCATGAGTCCAGGCTGCTGGTTACTTAGGGTTGAAGAACGATAAGCTGAAAGGGAGTCTATGACAGCATTCACTAGGGCATCTCGAGCATCACTCAGACTGGCAGTCACAGACCTGTCGACAGCTAACAGAAGTTGAAGTAGGGACAAAAGAGAAAAAAGACAGAAGTTTAGTTACCCCACCATTAAGGATAGAAAAACTTTTTTTAATTATACAAATTTTCTCTCAAGTTATTACATACACAAGGAACCAAACACAGCAGTTAAAAGCACATACTTTGGAGAATCAAACCAACCTGTGTTGAAATATTGTTTTGCTCTTTCCTAGCAGTATGAAAATCTGGCAAGTAGTTTAACCTTTATGACCCACAGTATCCTTATCTGTAAAATGTATACACTGGAAATACAAATGGAAAATATATACCCCAAAATTTTTTCCAATACCAACAACACTGTAGTTGCTTTGAAAACTTCTCAAACTATAGCTAAACTCTATTCATGTGGTATTAAAAATACACTCAATGAAGTGACATTATTAACTGCTATGACCAAATTTATATATAAGCAAAAAAGAACGAACACTACTATTATCTTAACTCAAGGATTTTGACAAAATGTGAGGGGTAAAAAGTACATATTGGGATCAACCAAATTTACTAACAGAACTAATACTTGTTGTGAAGCTTTTTTAAAATTCACAAATACTCCCTGACATATAGTTGCTATTGTTAATAATAATAAAGATAGTGTTACAAAAATGTACTAGTTCAACAAAATATAAAGGCAACAAGGATCTTCAAATTTCTTAGGTTACAATTTTTAACTTTTAACACATGAGACTAAAGTGAAGCTAATTATTTATCATGTTACATTAAAGAACATTTTTTTCCCAATAGGAAATTCAAGAAAATAGTTAATTATTCCTATTACAGGCATTTGAGTTTGAAGCAAATTGATGATTGAATTTGAAGAAAAAGGACTCACTGGCAGCCATCCCTGAAGGAGAAAGGGAGCAAGAACCAAGATGACATTAAACTCTATGTTTTTGAAAAAGGGATCCAAAAAGAAAACAAAACTAAACAAAATTCAAGAAGGCAACTCTGACATGGAAGACATTAAGTAAAACATGGTATTGAAGTCCACAGCAGGTAGACTGTGAGACAGAATACAGTTTGCATGTATGTGTCTGTATGAGTGTGTGCGCTCAGTTGCTCTAACAGTTTTGTGGTAGCCTAAGGCCAGTGAGGGAAGAAGAGAGCAAGCAGTAACTGTTAATTAATGAGCATGAGGCTCATTCAGGGGTGATGGAAATGTTCTAAAACTAGACTCAGGTGATGGCCATACAAATCTGCCTACATACTCATGGATGTGTATATGGAGTTATATACTCAAATGGGTTAAGTGATAATTATATCACTTATATCTCAAAAACTGAAACTAATTTCAATAAAGCTGTAAAATTAAAAAAAAAATCAGGTTATCTGCAGCAGACCCATTTATTCAAATAGTTACTTGGCAGGCATACACTGAATCTAAAATACTCAAATTGTAAAGCAAATTATTCAAAGGAAAACACAAGTATATAGATTTTTCAAATGCTACTACTTGTAATATGTTTACAATAGGTAATAATTCTTACCCATATTGGCCAATAACCCTGAAATTGCTTGAACATCAGCTCCAAGAAAGACTTCATTTAAAGTTGAAACTACCGGCAAACACAAAGTATGAACACGAATTCTTCTTTCACCTTTGGAGAAAACATACAAATAATAGTGAGGAACAACAATATTAAAAAAAAAAAAAGTGTGTATTAAAGTTACTCAGGGGACTTCCCTGGTGGTCCAGGGGATAAGACTCCATGCTCCCAATGCAGGAGACCCGGGTTCAATCCTTGGTCAGGGAACTAGATCCCATAGGCTGCAACTAAAGAGCTGGTATGCCACAACTGAGATCGAAGATCCCACATGCCACAACTATGACCTGGTGCAGCCAAATAAATAAATATTGAAAAATAAATAAATAAATAAAGTTACTCAGAAAAATCACTTCAATTTGAAACCAAACAGGATTATGTGTAGTAAGTAGGAATAGTATCAAAACAAACTCTAAAGCATTATTTTTTCTACTACAAACTTTTTTTTCAAGGTACCACTGAAAAGACAATAAAGATCATATCCAAATGATGGTAACATGCTAGCTTCTTAAAGATTTCTTTTCTGAATTTTTTGATTATTTTATCCTTTTTGTAAAAGCGATTTTGGTAAAATATAGTTTAAGAAAACTACTCCAAGATATGTTCTACATTCTGTTTTGATATTCAAACTCCAGAGAAATTTTATACTGTTCTTTTTAATCACAGGAAAAAAAAAGTAAAAGAAATCCACTAATTTAATTTGACTCAGCTTGTGAAATTAAAAATAAAGCTTTCATTTAAAAAAAGAGTCACAATACTTCTTCTTTGCTAATTACCCACACAGCAAAAATCAGTAAATACAAGAAACAAAAGTGAAAACCATCTGGGAACCATATAATATCAAATATCAAGTCAAGCTCTTAAAAATTTCTAACGAGCAAGACCTTGAACACCAAAGAACAAGCAAAAAAACTGGAATGGATACCCACACTACAACCTGTAGGGACACGTGATGACTAACAAAACCTTATCTAGGAGGAGCTCATACAAATTACTTTTAAAGAGAAGTAATATCTATGTAAAAGGGTGATATTATTCACAGCTTCTGTTCCAGATAAAAACATTGGTAACTAAAAGAAATAACATATCATGTTTAGCCTATCATAACAATAACCATTATATACTTCAGTTCAGTTCAGTTACTCAGTTGTGTCCGACTCTTTGCTACCTCATGAATCGCAGCACACCAGGCCTCCCTGTCCATCACCAACTCCTGGAGTTTACCCAAACTCATGTCCATCGAGTTGATGATAGATACAGATAAACTCACAAAATCAAAAGGTGATATTAAAAGGGCACTGAATGGGACTATAAATTGGCAAAATATTTCTGAAAAGAAACATGGCAGTAGCAAGATTTTTCTAAACATCTCTATATTTTTATTTCCAATTAGAGAAATCCATCTTAGGGAAATTTTTAGATGACAAAGATTTGTGGACATGGATAGAAATTATAATCGCATTTTATTTAGGTCATTCTTAGAAAACATGAGGAATAACCTAAACTAATAATTAATACAGTAAGTATATAAAAAGATGTCCAACATTATTTATTAAGGAAACATGAAATAAAACTAAAAGTGATACATTATACTTTATTAAAAGGGCATAACAAACAAAAAAACCTCAAACCAAAAATAACAAGCAAAAACTAAACAGATAACAGTAGATGCTGGTCAGAATTCAGAGCAGGTGGAACTCTCATACACTGCTTAGAGCACAAAATGGTACAGCTGCTTAGAAACAGTTTGGCAAGTTCTTAAAAAGTTAGACATAAGCTCACCATACAACCCAGACACCCATCAAAAACACTGAAAAGTATTTACCCAAGTGAAATTATCACTTAGGCTCATACAAAACTCCATATGCAAATGTTTATAAGGGTTATATCTGAAATTGCCAAAAACTGGAAACAACTCAAATGTACCTAAGCTAGGAAATAAACAACCTGAGTACAATGGAATACCATTTAGGAATAAAAAGAAACAAACTACTAGTAGATGAAACAACATGGATGAATTTCAAATCCACTGTGTTAACTGAAAGAGCCAGATATAAAAGGTTTACCTACTGTATGATTCTATTCATAAAACATTTTTGCAAGGCAAAAGTAAAGGGTCAGAAAACAGATCAATAGTTGCTAGATTCTGGAGATGGGAGACAGCTGACTATAAAAACCCAAGGACATTTTGGGTGTAATGGAACAGATTGTGATACTTAAATTGTCAAAACTTGTGGAACTATAACTTCCCTGGTGGCTCAGATGGTAAAGAATATGCCTGCAACGTAGGAGAAAATGTAAAAGTTGCTCAGTCATGTCCAACTCTTTGCAAACCCATGGACTGTAGCCTGCAAGGCTTCTGTCCATGGAATTCACCAGGCAAGAATACTGGAGTGGGTTGCAATGCCCTTCTCCCAGGAGATCCTCCCAACCCAGGGATCGAACCCAGGTCTCTCGTATAGAGGACAGATTCCGTACCATTTGAACTACCCAGTAAGCCGGGTTTAACCCCTGGGTGGGCAAGATCCCCTGGAGAAGGGAATGGTAACCCACTCCAGTATTCTTGCCTGGAGAATCCCATGGACAGAGGAGTCTGACAGGCTATAGTCTACCGGGTCACAAAGTGAGTATATCTGTTTCTATGCATGTAATAGCTGTCATTGCCAATATGATAGGCTTAAACATCTTAATTGTTAGTTGTAAATGTTTTTTATCTAGAATAGAAGCACTAAATAATGTTACCCTTTTAGACAAGTATTCAGTTCAGTCATTCAGTCGTGTCCAACCCTTTGTGACCCCATGAACCACAGCATGCCAGGCCTCCCTGTCCATCACCAACTTCCGGAGTTCACCCAAACTCATGTTCACTGAATCAGTGATGCCATCCAACCATCTCATCCTCTGTCGTTCCCTTCTCCTCCTGCCCCCAATCCCTCCCAGCATCAGGGTCCTTTCCAATGAGTCAGCTCTTCGCATCAGGTGGTCAAAGTACTGGAGTTTCAGCTTCAACATCAGTCCTTCCAATGAACACCCAGGACTGATCTCCTTTAGGATGGTCTGGTTGGATCTCCTTGCAGTCCAACGGACTTTCAAGTGTCTTCTGCAACACCACAGTTCAAAAGCATCAATTCTTCGGCACTCAGCTTTCTTTATAGTCCAACTCTCACATTCATACATGACTACTGGAAAAACCATAGCTTTGACTAGACGGACTTTTGTTGACAAAATAATGTCTCTGCTTTTTAATATGCTGTGTAGGTTGGTCATAACTTTCCTTCCAAGGAGCAAGCATCTTAATTTCATGGCTGTAGTCACCATATGCAGTGATTTTGGAGCCCCCCCCAAATAAAGTCAGCCACTGTTTCCACTGTTTCCCCATCTATTTGCCATGAAGTGATGGTACTGGATGCCATGATCTTAGTTTTCTGAATGTTGAGCTTTAAGCCAACTTTTTCACTCTCCTCTTTCACTTTCATCAAGAGGCTCCTTAGTTTTTCTTCACTTTCTGTCATCAGGGTGGTGTCATCTGCATATCTGAGGTTACTGATATTTCTCACGGCAATCTTGATTCCAGTTTGTGCCTCTTGCAGCCCAGTGTTTCTCATGACATACTCTGCATATAAGTTAAATAAGCAGGGTGACAATATACAGCCTTGATGTACTCCTTTTCCTATTTGGAACCAGTCTGTTGTTCCATGTCCAGTTCTAACTGTTGCTTCCTGACCTGCATACAGGTTTCTCAAGAGGCAGGTCAGGTGGTCTGGTATTCCCATCTCTTTCAGAATTTTCCATAGTTTATTGTGATCCACACAGTCAAAAGGCTTTGGCATAGTCAATAAAGCAGAAAGAGATGTTTTTCTGGAACTCTTTTGCTTTTTCAATGATCCAGTGGGTGTTGGCAATCTCACCTCTGGTTCCTCTGCCTTTACTAAAACCAGCTTGAACACCTGGACGTTCACGGTTCACGTATTGCTGAAGCCTGGCTTGGAGAATTTTGAGCATTACTTTACTAGCGTGTGAGATGAGAGCAACTGTGCGGTGGTTTGAGCATTCTTTGGCATTGCCTTTCTTTGGGATTGGAATGAAAACTGACCTTTTCCAGTCCTGTAGCCACTGCTGAGTTTTCCAAATTTGCTGACATATTGAGTACAGTGCTTTCACAGCATCATCTTTTAGGATTTGAAATAGCTCAACTGGAATTCCATCACCTCCACTAGCTTTGTTCATAGTGATGCTTCCTAAGGCCCACCTGACTTCACATTCCAGGATGTCTGGCTCTAGGTGAGTGATCACACCACTGTGATTATCTGGGTTGTGAAGATCTTTTTTGTGCAGTTCTTCTGTGTATTCTTGCCACCTCTTCTTAATATCTTCTGCTTCTGTTAGGTCCCTACCATTTCTGTACTTTATTGAGCCCATCTTTGCATGAAATGTTCCCTTGGTATCTCTAATTTTCTTGAAGAGATCTCTAGTCTTTCCCATTCTATTGTTATCCTCTATTTCTTTGCAATGATCGCTGAGGAAGGCTTTCGTATCTCTCCTTGCTATTCTTTGGAACTCTGTATTCAGATGGGTATATCTTTCCTTTTCTCTTTTGCTTTTCGCTTCTTCTTTTCACAGCTATTTGTAAGGCCTCCTCAGAAAGCTATTTTGCTTTTGTGCATTTCTTTTTCTTGGGGATGGTCTTGATTCCTGTCTCCAGTACAACGTCACAAACTTTCTGTCCATAGTTCATCAGGCACTCTGTCTATCAGATCTAGTCCCTGAAATCTATTTCTCACTTCCACTATACAATCATAAGGGATTTGATTTAGGTCATACCTGAATGGTCTAGTGGTTTTCCCCACCTCCTTCAATTTAAGTCTGAATTTGGCAATAAGGAGTTCATGATCTGAGCCACAGTCAGCTCTCGGTCTTATTTTTGCTGACTGTATATCAAAAAGATAGGACACTGAAAGATGAACTCCCCAGGTCGGTAGGTGCCCAATGTGCTACTGGAGATCAGTGGAGAAGTAATTCCAGAAAGAATGAAGGGATGGAGCCAAAGCAAAAACAACACCTAGTTGTCAATGTGACTGGTGATAGAAGCAAGGTCCGATGCTGTGAAGAGTAATATTGCATAGGAACCTGGAATGTTAGGTCCATGAATCAAGGCAAATTGGAAGTGCTCAAACAGGAGATGGCAAGAGTGATCATCAACATTCTAGGGATCAGCAAACTAAGACGGACTGGAGTGGGTGAATGTAACTCAGATGACCATTATATCTACTACTATGGGCAGGAATCCCTTAGAAGAAATGGAGTAGCCATCATAGTCAACGGAAGAGTCCGAAATGCAGTACTTGGATGCAATCTGAAAAATGACAGGATGATCTCTGTTCGTTTCCAAGGCAAACCATTCAATACCATAGTAATCCAAGTCTATGCCCTGACCAGTAACGCTGAAGAAGCTGAAGTTGAATGGTTCTATGAAGGCCTATAAGACCGTTTAGAACTAACACCCAAAAAAGATGTCCTTTTCATTACAGGGGACTGGAATGCAAAAGTAGGAAATCAAGAGAGACCTGGAGTAACAGGCAAATTTGGCCTTGGAGTACAGAATGAAGCAGGGCAAAGGCTAATAGAGTTTTGCCAAGAGAATGCACTGGTCATAGGCAGGTATTTTAAAATAAATAAATAAAATAAATTAAAAATAAATAAATAAAATAAATAAAAATAAATAAAATAAAAGTAATTTGTGGAACTATACATTAAAATGGTAGATTTTACCTAGTTCAATTATACATTAGGGTTTTTTTTTAAATAGGTTAAGAAAAATCAATGAGAAAAAGGACTGGGAATTATTCTGTCAAATAAAAAATAATATCTAGATTCAGAAATCTATCTTACTTTTACATTTATGGTATGCAATATTATTATAATCATAGTACAAAAAGTGGACTTCTCTAATACTAATAGTTTTCAGTAAAATATCTATTATACACTTTTTATAGATTTTGGCAGGGTTGTAAAAATCAGTAGACACAGCACAATAACACTTTTCAAAACTTTTTTTAAGGAGACAAAACAGAATTACGGTGAGAGCTGTGAATCTTTAAAATAATAAAAATAAATTTAACCAGCCTTCACATCATCTTTTGGACAAAATATATTATAAATTAATTAGTACTAAACAAATTATACCCTTAAAAACTGTTTATCTTGCATTTGAACTCCTTCAAAACTTAACTCAAATGTCAACCTCTGTGAGACCTTTCCTGGAAACCCTATCTTAAAAGACCATCACCCCTCAGCACCTTTTAAACCCTTTACCAGATTTCTGTTTCTCATTAACTAATGTCACTATATAATATATTATTATTTTACTGATGTATCCTTTTTATTGTTTGTCTCCCCTACTAGAATAAGGACTATGAGAAAAAGGGTTTTAATTCAGTTTGACTGTTGTGTTATCATAACATATTTCAGACACTAAGTAGACTCTTAATAAATATCTGTTAAATACAATGTTTAAAAAATTAAACACCAAATATCTTAGCTTTATCAAGAACAACAGAAAGCCTCTTAAGATTAAGATCACTTTTTTGGCTTAACAGAAATGGTAATTTTTTCCAAAGAAGATGGATTTTATCACAAGCCAAAGACATGGATTTTATCACAAGCCAATTCAAAAATCTTACCTTTGCTCCATCATTGTGCTTCTAGTTAACAACACTGTATTTTAGACATAATTTTGTTAAGAGGATAGATCTCATGTTATGTGTTTTTGCTACAATGAAACAAACAGAAAAGCTTACCTTTGCTGGATGTATACAAGAGTGCTGACTGAAACGAAACCAACTGAGTGTCAGTAAGACTCTCTTCCACTGACATCTGTACTGCATAGCCGGCATCTGGGTTTACATTGGGCAAAGACAGTAAGTCTGTTGACCGAACAAAGAAGTTCCCATGGAAAGTATGAATGGAAAGACCTAGAAAAGAAAAAGGCATCAAAATGATTTACATACACCTACATATAAAGTTTAGATGTGATATTGTAGTTTATAAAAAGATAAATACTCAGTCTTCACCCATTCCAGGCACACAGCTTCTAAAACCCTTAGAATTCCCTAAGTGTTGAGGGTTATAAAGTTGTCTTTTACTGGGTTAACTAGGTGAGTTCTGGAAAGGAACTAGGATGGAAAGAAACTAATGATGGGGGGGATGGCTACCAGAGTATTCAACCATTTGATTACAGAGGGTTAGAACTTTCAGTCTGACATTCCCCCCACCCCCACCCCACTCAGTACCTACAGGGAGGGGAGAAGTGCTTGAGAGTGACTTAATCAGTCTTGACTATGTAATAAAGCCCCATAAAACCCAAAAGGACAGGGTCCTTATGAGAGCTTTGGGATTACATGGAAATCCCATGTAATACATGGGGTTATTGTATTATAGTACATGTAATCCCAGTGAATACATGGAAACTTGGGGAGAATGAAGCTCTCAGAGAGAGGAAGCAAGCTCCAGAAACTCCAGGACTCCACACCCTTTTCCTTTCCTCATATCTTGCTCTATGCATCTTGTCTCTTTTTTTGTTGTTGAGTTATATCCTTTTAAATAAACTGGTAATCTTTACTCAGCTATTAAAAAGAATGCATTTGAATCAGTTCTAATGAGGTGGATGAAACTGGAGCCTATTAAAGGAAGTGAAAAACCAATACAATGCTGTAAAATAAAATAAATAAATAATTTAAATTTTAAAAATAAATAATACAAACACAGAAAACTAAAAAAATAAAATAAAATAAAATAAAATATACAAAGTGAAGTAAGTCAGAAAGAAAAACACCAACACAGTATATTAATGCATATATATGGGATTTAGAAAGATGGTAACAATGACCCTATATGCGAGACAGCAAAAGAGACACAGATGTAAAGAACAGTCTTTGGGACTCTGTGGGAGAAGATGAGGGTGGGATGATTTGAGAGAATAGCATTGAAACATGTATATTTTAATATGTGAAACAGATGGCCAGTCCAGGTTCGATGCATGAGACAGGGTGCTCAGGGCTGGTGCACTGGGATGACCCTGAGGGATGGGATGGGGAGGGAGGTGGGAGGGGGGTTCAGGATGAGGAACACATGTACACCCATGGCTGATTCATGTCAACGTATGGCAAAAACCACTACAATATTATAAAGTAATTAGCCTCCAATTTAAATAAATGAATTTTTAAAAATTAAATAAAATAAACTGATAATCTAGTAAGTACAATGTTTCTTCTGAGTTCTATAAGTCACTCTAGCCAATAATCTCAACCAAAGGAGGGATTTGCTGGACCCTCCAATCTATAGCCAGAAGCAGAGATAACAAATTGGACTCACAACTGGCTTCTGAAATGTGGTGGTGTGGTGTGTGGGGAGGCAGTCTTATGAGACTGAACCCTTAATCTGTGGGATCTGATGATATCTCTAGGTAAGCAATGTCAGAACTGAGTTAATTGCTTGGTAGTATGGGGAAAAGCCACACCCTGACACTGCACTGGAAACAAGCATATTAAATAATACACAGTAGTTAGTAAGAATGAGGATGGGATAAAAGATAACTTCTTAAATGAATTCAACACCACAGTTCAAAAGCATCAATTCTTCAGCACTCAGCTTTCTTTATAGTCCAACTCTCACATCCACACCTGACTATGGGAAAAACCATAGCCCTGACTAGACGGACCTTTGTTGACAAAGTAATGTCTCTGCTTTTTAATATGCTGTCTAGGTTGGTCATAACTTTCCTTCCAAGGAGTAAGCGTCTTTTAATTTCATGGCTGCAATCACCATATGCAGTGATTTTGGAGCCCCCAAAAATAAAGTGAGCCACTGTTTCCCCATCTATTTGCCATGAAGTGATGGGACCGGATACCATGATCTTAGTTTTCTGAATGTTGAGCTTTAAGCCAATTTTTTCACTCTCCTCTTTCACTTTCATCAAGAGGCTCTTTAGTTCTTCCCTCCAATTTATCTACCTATTAAATGAAAGCCCTATCAAATACCAGCTGGCTTGTTTGCAGAAACTGACAAGATGAAACTAAGAATCACATGAAAATGCTAGGAACCCAGAATATCACAATAATTCTGGTAAAGAAGAAAATGTGAGAGGACTCATACTTCCTAATTTCAAACTTACTACAAAGTCACAATAGTCAAGAAAGTTTGGTACTTGCATAAGACAGACATATAGATTAAAAGAATAAAATTCAGAATCCAGAAACAAACCCTCACATTTATGATCAACTAATTTTCAACAAAGGGACATAGAGGACAAGACAATTCAATAGGGAGGGAACAGTATTTTTTAATAAATGGTGCTGGGACAACTATATCCACATGCAAAAGTATGAAGTCAAACTCATCAAACCTCATCAAAAACAAAAATTAACTAAAAATAAACCAAGGACTTAAATATAAGAATTATAACTATAAAAATCTTAGAAGACAACATATGTATAAATGTTCATGACTTTGGATTAAGCAGTCAGTGGTTGATGTGAAAGTGAAAGTCGCTCAATCGTGACTGACTCTTTGTGACCCCATCGACTACACAGTCCATGGAATTCTCCAGGCCAGAATACTGGGGTGGATAGCCATTCCCTTCTTCAGGGGATCTTCCCAACCCAGGGATCGAAACCAATCTCCCGACTGCAGGCGGATTCTTTACCAGCTGAGCCACCAGGGAAGGCCAAGAATATTGGAGTAAGGGTAGCCTATCCCTTCCAAGCAGATCTTTCCAGATTCCTAGGAATCGAACCAGGGTCTCCTGCAAGGCAGTTGGATTCTTTACGAACTGAGCTACCTATGATACCAAAGTACAAATAAAAAATTAAAAAAGATGATAAATGGGACATCACCAAAATTAAAAATAATTGTGCCTCAAAGGGTACCATTAAGAAAATGAAAAAGGATAGACTTCCCTGGTAGTCCCGTGATTAAGAATTCACTTGCAAATGCAGGGGATACCAGTTCAACTCCTGGGCTGGGAAGACCCAACATGCCATGGAGCAGCTAAGCCCGTGAGCCATAACTACTGAGCCTGCAAGTACGCAAGCCACGTACTGCTGAAGCCTGCAAGCCGCAACTATTGAAGCCCTTGGCACCTAGAGCCTGTACTCGGCAACAAGAGAAGCCACCGCACTGAGAAGCTCGCGCACTGCAACAAGGAGTAACCCCCGCTTGCCACAAAGAAAGCCCAAGTGCAAAAAAAAAAAAAAGAAAGCCCAAGTGCAGCAATAAAGACCCAGCAACAGCCAAAAATAAATAAAGATGATTTAAAACAAAACTCCATTTATGCCTTCATAAATGTTAAAAAAAAAAAAGTGCCCCCACCTTTGGTACACCGAATCCTCATGACTGCCTCAAAGCCAATCTTCCGAGTGAGGTATCTCTGTAGTTCCTTCTGCAATTTCTGTACTTGGACTGGGTTGTGTTGATGGTGGTAAGAGGGATAATAATAGACACTACCTGCTGAATACCGAGAAATACAACCTGAAAGAGAACATATACTCCTTTTAAATTCTACCATCACCTACTATTACTAACACAAAGTAACTACAAGCATTTGAATTGACCTTTCTTTACCTTCCAAGACATTGTCAAAAAAGAATTCATTCCTTTAAATAGTAATATAGACATTTCTCTATTATAAATGTTCAGAGAAGAAGACTACAAGGTTAATTATAAACTAAACTGACTTCCCAAGGGAATAAGAATTCCTTCACTTTGTCATCTGTATCATCATAAAAATACCATTTTGACTTTCACCTGAGAAAAATAATCACTAGGAAGAACTTACCCAGAGAAGCCAAATCAGAATACTGTCCACTGAGTAGGAATAAGTCAACAGCTACCTGCTGACCAGAACAGTCCAAGGCTAATTTCTTATAGAAGTCAGTTGATGGTGTCAAGTGAATTTCCTATTAATAATTACAAAGAGAAAAAATTTTAAATCATTAAATTGTCATAAAATTTATATACCAGTTCATATATACCACTGAGATGACACTAGAGATGCAGGTTCAAGCCCTACATCAGGAAGATCCCCTGGAGGAGGAAATGGCAACCCACTCCAGTACTCTTGCTGGGAAAATCCCATGGACGAAAAAGCCTGGTGTGCTACTGTCCATGCAGTTGCAAAGAGCTGGACACAACGAGTGACTGAGCAAACACACACACACCATATATACTGAGGGTTAACAATTATCTTTGAACATTCTATAAAATCCTTTATGTTTTGTAATATTTTCTCTTTTTTTCAGTAAGAAACATGTCCTGCTTAAGAATTTTCTATTTTGCTTTACTTTTAAAAAGGAATATACCTATTATACTTATTTTGATACTCTTTTAAATGCTTAATGCTGGAACTTCTAAACAATTCATATGTAATACTTTTCATCTATCATAAGAGATAAGTACGATTGATACTTTCACTTTATAAATATAAGGGAACAGAGTTACTTAATTATTTAAGTAATTACTTAAGTAATTAAGTAACTATTCAAGTTCACAAATTTAAAAAGCAGTGAAACTTAGGCACCCTTATTCCAAAGCTGACACCTTTAATCATTATAGTATATGGCCACATTCTCATTATCTTTTGAGAAATATGTATCTTAAAATAAGTTTATACACACAAGGTGCTCAAAAACAATTCAGGACAATCAATATAACCAACCATGACTAATTTTACTCATCATTAAGGTTCTACCTTGTCCCTAGCAAGCATATTCTCTTAGTTTCCCTGACTTTCTCATCAAAGGCAGGTGGCATTGGTGCTACTACTTAGTTGCTAAATCATGTCCAACTCTTTGTGACCCCGTGGACCGTAGCCCACCCGGCTCCTCTATCCATAGGATTTCCCAGACAAGAATAATGGAATGGGCTGCCATTCCTTCTCTAGAGGATCTCCTTGACCCACACTGAATCCACATCTCCTGCATTGGCAGGCAGATTCTTTTACTGCTGAGCCACCTGGGAAGCCACACACAAATTTGCTAGTGGTCTGCTAAAGATCTAACATAAGGTAACAGTGAATCAGATAGAAAATAATGAAACAGAAATGACTACATAAAAGAGAAATGATTATCCATTTCCTTATATCCCCTGTTTTTTATAACTTAAAAATAAATTTAAAATAATCTCTATAGTCAAAGGGACAAAACACTAGCATAAATCTTATCATACACTTGATGACTTTCTAACCTTAGCAGATGATCTTTGGTTGGGTTCCTCTCGAGGTTTCAGGGCTCCCACTCCAAGAGTTGGGAGTTGTGTTTGAAAAACAGACATTCGACCACCAGTTGGGGACATCAACTTAAAGGCAGCCTGAAGAGCTGGACCCAAGGCACTCTGAGTCTCCAAGGTCTTGGTGAACATTTGCGGCAAAGTTTTCAGTAAATCTTGGACGAGCTTGTGAAATAAAGCAAGAAAACTCAAGAGTGTTACAATAAAAAATTTTTTTTTCACAATAAGTCAGTAAGTAATACAATAGACAGGACACTGAGTCATGATGATGGTCAGAGAATCTACAGACAGTACAGTAAACAATGAAGTTGGTCAAATGACAAGAAAGCCATTTTAAGTCAACATTATAAATTGGCAAGCAAGACAAATCAAAATTGGGGCCTTACAGTTCTTGCACATGCAGTAGTCCAGCAAGACTATAAGTCCAAAATATATCCAAAAGAACCATCACAGTTTATAGAGATTTGACATATTTAAATGCCATGAAATATGGCCTTCTCAATCACCTCTATACACTTTATTCTTTTCAGTTCCAAAGTGTATTTAACTCTTCCCTACTGCAAAATCTAAGGTAGCCAGTAAATTTGCCAACTAGTGATATTACTACAAAAGAAAAACAAAACAAAAAACAACTACCTCTTCAGGTTAGATTGTACAAATAAAGAGAGTTAATGGGAAAAAATACTTTGCGCTATGGCAAAGTCACCATTGCCAACAGCTGAGACCATAGACTTGCTAGTTAAAATGTTACCCCTATGGCATATATGCATGTACAGGGTAGACAACATCCCCCCTTCAGACACATTCTGTTCACCTCTCACTGTATTATGTCATGGCAATTTCCAGGCAGGTAATAAGAGTTTCTTCTGAACTGACCTCAATGACACTCTGTGAATCAGAAAAGCAAAGGGCACTGAAAGCAGCCTAAAGTGCTTCTACGTAGTGACCAGAAGCTTATCTCAGCAACCCTCCCAGTTTCCCAAATGGCTGGCAAGGCAAGTTTCCTGCATCTCATCCTGCTTTATGGAACAGACTTATCTTCTACCCTATTACAAACTGATACATTAAACTTAAAAGCAATCAGTTTAAGGGCAAACTCAAAAGCTGTTCATCTGATGAATTTTAACTAATTGCAAATATAAAATGCTACACATCCTAGAAATGTCACAGAAAGAAGCAAAATTCTACATAAAGTTCATTTTAAAAATACATTCCTTCAACATTTCAATCAAATGTGTCAGATAGGAAAGTGTCCCTTACCTCTTTACTTTCATTTAAATTTACTAATAAGTTCTCCGGCATAGGTATAAAAACATCTGAAAAGATAAATAAATATTTCTTTTAAACAAAACAACTGTCACAGATGTTCTAAATATATAACACTGATATAATTAACCACCCCCACACTTAAGAGAAAAGCTCTACTTTCACAGTAATGTCTACCTATGTTCAAAGAGTTACCAAAACAGCACTGATTTAGGTTTCTATTGTAACTTATCTGTTATGTAAAAGGTAAATAGTCTCTCAGAAAATAGAGATCCACAAGCACTCTGTAATGTTTGTACAAGTACTCTGCTTCTTAGATTAAAGACAATTTAGAATCTTGCCTTAGAATTCCTGCTTAGCCCCAGAAGCGGTCAAAGAAACACTCCTGGCATTAAAAAAAAAAATCTTGACTAAGAAGACACACAAAAATTCTGTCTTGAAATAGAAGTAACACAGCCCACTAACAACTGTGTCATTCTTAAAGTGGATACTTTCTCACAAAGAAGGCTACTGTCCTACTTAGGGCTATAAAATCAAGTAAATCGCAAGGTATGCTAAATGGACACATCAGAGGAGTTTTTCAGTATTCAAATTTATTCTTTCTTATGTAGTAAATACTGTTTTCTGAAAGGAAGCAAACTGGAAGGAAAATGTGGGTGGTGATGGAGTATTTTGAGGGGGGGGTCTCACTTTTTACATTTTTGTACTGTTTTTCATTACAAAATTACAAAAATAAGGCTCACCATAATTCTTATAAAAATAATACCAACAGATAATTTGAAACATTAAATATTTAACTATCATATAAAAAATCTACTGTTTACATTTTGTCCCTTTTATCTTTGAGTTGTACAATTGTCACCACTATCTAATTCTAGATCTTTTTCATCCTTGCAAAAGGGAACCCCACACTGATTAGCAGTCACTCCTCACTTCCCTACCAACTCCCACAGCTCTAGGCAGCCTCTAGTCTTCTGGTCTCTGAATTGGCCTATTCTGGACATTTTATAATAATGGAGTCACACCATGAGGTCCTCTGTGACTGGCTTCTTCCTCTTAGCCTAACATTTTCAAGATTCATCCATGTTGTTTTTTTACTGCTGAGTAATATTTCATTATATGGATATCTTACATTTTGTTTATGTTGGGTTGTTTCCACTTCTTGGCTGAGTTGTTAAAAAACATTCATGTACACATTCTTGGGTAGACATGTTCTGTACTGTTTTATTTTTAATAATTCATGTTAACAATTACAAAAAATTGAAGTATAGTTGCTTTCCTATTAAGTAAAAATGCTGGGTTATATGGTTAACTCTATGTTTAACTTCTAGAGGAAATGACAAAATGTTTTCCCTAATGGCGGCACTATCTTCCATTCCTACTACTAGTGAATGAGGGTTCTACTTTCTCCACATCCTTGAAAAAACTTGCTACTGTCCTTTACAAAAATGTTTGCTATGTAACACTCAGCAAGGAATATTCATCAGCTTTTGTATAAAATTGAGAGGCTGAACCGTATCAGTAAATTCACAACTTCGCCCATTATCAGAATCACCTGTTATGTGATTTTATTTTATGCCAAGTAAGTATTTGGAGAAACATGAATAGATAAGAGAAAGGGGAAAGACTGACTTGGCTGCTCTGTTGTGAGATTTGGAACAACCAGGACAGAAGGGGGGCTCTATTAATCTATTGCATTTTAAAGATGTACAGCCAATTCTCATAATTCACAGATTTTATAGTTGTGAACTTACCTATTTATTAATATTTATTTGTAATCCCCAAACCAATACTCATGGAACTTAACCAGTTATCCAGACATGCTCAGAGCAGCAGAAAATTCTGGTTTTGAGATTTCTTTTTAACTGCTCTGATATGGCATTTCTTTGTGGTTTTCATTTGCATTTCCCTGGTAACTCATGATATGAGCATCTTTTCAAGGGCTTATCAGCCAACCGCACAGACAGAATGTTGAATATGGTGTACCATAGAGACAAGGCTATTCAAATCCTTTGCCCACTTTAATTAGGTTGTCTTTTTATTTTTTAATTTTTTTTTTAGGTTGTCTTTTTATTAAGCTGTAGAAATTCCTTGCATGATCTAGATATATATTTTGATCAGATATATGACTTTCAAATATTTTTTCTCATTCTGTGGGTGTCTTCACTTTCATGATGGTATCCTTTGAAACACAAAGCTTTATTTTTTAAAAACATTTTCATTTTTTTATTTTATTGAAGTACAGTTGATTTACATTGCTGTGCTGATTTCTGCTGTACAGCAAAGTGACTCAGTTATACAAATATGTATTCTTTTCCGTTATGGTTTTTCATAGAACATTAAATACAGTTCCTTGTGCTACACGGTAGGACCTTGTTGTTTACCCAAAGTTTTAATTTTTAAGAAGCCCAACTTACCTATTTTCTCTTTTGTCGTTTGTGCTTTTGGTGTTTTATCTAAGAAATCACTGCCTAATTCAAGGTCACACACTTCTATGTTTTTTTTCTAACAGTTTTATAGTTTCAGTCTCATATTCAGATTTATGATCCATTTGGAGTTAATTTTTTAAACTGTGATAAACATATATAATATGCAAAGTTTATCACCATAACCATAAAAAAATTTTGTCATTCTTCTTCAAATTTTCATTCATTTAATTTTTTTTTGGCTGCACAGGCTTTCTCTGGCTGCCATTAAGTCAAGGTTACTCTCTATTGTGGTGCCCGGGCTTCTCACTGCAGAGGCTTTTCCTGTTGTAGAGCACAAGCTCTAGAGCACTCGAGCTTCAGTAGCAGTGGCTCAGTGGGTCAGTAGTTGTGGCACATGGGCTTAGCTGCCCCATGGCAAGCATTCACTTCCTGGACCAGTGTCCCCTGCATTAGCAGATGGATTCTTAACAACCGGACAACCAGGAAAATCCTCACCTCAACCATTTTTAAGTGTACAAATTGTTTTCCATAGCACTGAACCATTTTACATTCCTACCAGCAATATACAACAATTCCAAAGTTTCCACATCCTTACCAATCCTTGTTATTTTCCATTTCTAAAAATAATAACCATTCTAATGGATGTCAAGTGGTATCTCATTGTGATTTTGGTTTGCATTTCTCTAATGACTAATGATGTTGAGCATTTTTTCATATGTTTATTGACCATTTGTACATCTTCTTTGGAGAACTGTCTATTCAAGTTCTTTGTCCATTTTTGAGTTGTGGTTTATTTACTGCTGAGTTGTATGTATGTATGTTAGTCACTCAGTCATATCCAGATCTTTGCGACCCCATGGATTGTAGCCCACCAGGTTCCTCTGTCCATGGAATTCTCCAGGCAAGAATACTGGAGTGGGTTGCCATTCCCTTCTCTGGGGATCTTCCCAACCAAGGGACTGAACCTGGATCTCCTGCATTGCAGGTGGATTCTTCACCGTCTGAGCGATTAGCAGCTCTTTTATTAATCCTTTATCTTATGTAAAATCTGCATATACATGTGTTTTCTCTGTACTTCTCTACTTCTTTTTACTGTCTTGATAGTTTTCTTTCATGAACAAAAGTTTTTTAACAGTGATCAAGTCCAATTTATTTATTTTTTTCTTTTGTTGCTTCTGCTTTTAAGTGTCATATCCAGGAAATCGCTGCCAAACCTAATGTCATGAAGATTTTCCACTGTTTTCTTTTTTTTTCCCCCACTGTTTTCTTATAGTTTCAGTTCTTAAGTTTAGGTCTTTGATCCACTGAGTTAATTTTTTTTTTTAATATGGTTGAAGATAAGGGTCTAACTTCATTCTTTTGCATGCTCAGTTTTCTCTGAACCATTTGTTAAAAAGACTGTCTCTTCCCCATTGAATGGTCTTGGTATCCTTATCAAAAATAAAGTTACCATATATGTGAAGGCTTATTTCTGGGCTTCTATTCTGTTCCATTGGCCTATGTCTATCCTCAAATACTTCCTGAATGAGATTTAACATTAACTTGCTTTTGTTGCCTTGTTCAGAATCCACTTTACCTCCATAATTCTGTTTCCTCTTCTATAAAATAAGAGCTTTGACTGAAGAAGTCTCACAAGTTCAAAAATCTTGTCACTATACTCAAAGTTTTCCTCAATATAGTAGAATCATACCAAGTGATCTGAATTGGCTGAACAATCATGAAATATTTCTAAAACTAAAATTTCCTCAGTTCATTAATTTAAGTATATAATATATACCTTCAATATCTGAAACTATTAGCATCTGAGGTTGAGAGAGACCTTCTTGAAGACTGTAGAAGTGGATTGTACTATCAAATGTTATGAAGCCAATTTTTGTCCTGGTGTTGCCAGGAAGCCTAAAAACAAATTCAGAAGAATATTTTATAAAGTTTTATATTATATCTAAAATACCTGCAAAGAGTTATATACAAACATTTGCTTCTGTCCTGTGGAAAATGTCCCAACATAAATGTTTTTAATCCGTGCAGTTTAATCACCATGAAAACATATACTACTCAAAAGAAAACACTACACATAACCCAAATAATCAACAAAACCAAGCAATAATACAGCAATCCAAAACTCATTATACCTATATAAAGCTATATTAATCACTTAGGAAATGACATATAAAAAACAACAGAAAGTATATACAAAAGTCTGGAGATGATTTTAACTTACAAAAAAAGACTTCAAAAAATTACCACATACCAACTCTAAAATGTAATTTACATACTGCATAAATCTACATACTGCTTTACATACTGTATCTTTTTTTTAATTGCTTAAATTTGTTTTATAGTGCTTAATGCATTCATTTAAAAAGATCAGCAAAAAGACGTTTTAAAGAACTTAAATATGTAGACCTTAGTTTTACAAGGGGAAAAACAAACTAGTTTTCATTCTTGGGTAAGTTAGTAAACCCTCTCATCAACAAACAATTCTTATACACAACCTACAACATTAAAAACACAAATGCCGATAAGAACAAAAATGCCTGTAACCAAGCTGAGGGAGTTAGTCCATTTCTGATGAGATTTGCTCCTGAACATTCTTCCTTACCATACAAGAGCACAAGAGTATTTCATTACACTGAAAGGTCATGCTAGCTTTCATGGGTTATACTAAGCATGTAAGAGCCATTTAAAGTACAGTTGTTTTAAGAGGCTTAATAGATATGACCAGCAAATGCAATGTGTAGACACTGTTTAGATTCTTTTTCCAACAAACCCACAATAAAAAAAATTCTTGAGACAACCAGGAACAAAAATTGAACTGGATATTATATCATATTATGGAATTACTGCTAATTTTGCTTGATGTGATTCTCATATTTTAGCTACGGTTAAAAATAATTCCACTTATTTTTAGGTAAAATGATCATATTATGGAATTACTGCTAATTTTGTTGGATGTGATTCTCATATTTTAGTTAGGGTTAAAAATAATTCCACGTATTTTTAGGTAAAATGATATACTGACTGAGATTTGCATTAAAATACTCTAGGAGAAAAAGCAGGGGCAGGGGTAGATGAAGCAAGAACAGCTGAATGCTAAAAATACTGAACCTGAGGCTAAGTACCTGGAACTTCACTATGTTCTTTCTATTTACCACTTCCTTGACATTTTTCCATAATAAAAAGTTAAAAATAAACTAGTATTTCTCAGAAAAAGGGAGACCTAAAGTTAACTGTGGATTTAAGTGGACTTTTAGAACATAATTACATAGCTTTTTAAATATATTTTGGAACTACCTATTCATTTTATTAATACAAACACTGTTTCTAAATTAACCTGAGTTAAGATACTTACAAATCCAGATTGTCTAACAAACTCTGGCAAACTGAATTCAAGTATCCAGTTTCAACTGCATTGTGAGACACATCAAAAACAAAGAGGTACACTGGAGGCTGAGGTGGTCGTAACTGAAGGAGAAAAAGGATCTCATTAAATACAATTAACAGGATTTAATTTAAACTTACCATTTGTCATGTCCACATATAGCAAAACAATAAAATAAACATTATTTACAGATCAAGTGGAGCCTATAATAATAATAGATGAAGAAAATAATATAGAAAAGTTTTTTTCAGATGCATACTTAGAAAAAGGAAAATGAGAATATGATTGTCATCTGTCAAAAGAGTGTTTTTTTTCCTAGGACAGGAAGGGGAATACATATATTCAGAAAGCTTTTAGGAGACCTCCTTGGTGGTCCAGTGGCTATGACTCTGTACTCTCAATGCAGCGGTCCAGGGTTCAATTTCCAGTCAGGGAACTAGATCCTACATGCCAGAACTAAAAGAGCCTGCATGATGCAACTAAGAGTTGGTGTAGCCAGATATCAGGTTGGTGCAAAAGTTTTGCATTGTTGAACTTTGCCATTTGATATTGGAAAATTTTTTAAGTAAATGCGGTTATGATACACATCATTTTAATGCGCATTTCTTGCTTTATGTTTTTTGCTAATGTTTTTTGTTAATTTTGTATGTATTTTAGACTATAGAAATTGTTACTAGACAAAAAGCGAATTCATGCAATTCTCTTATCGGCGTTCAAAATGGGTCATAAAGCAGCAGAGACAACTCACAACATCAACAATGCCTTTGGCCAAGGAACTTCTAATGAATGAACAGTGCAGTAATGGTTCAAGAAGCTTTGCAAAAGAGATGAGAGCCTTGAAGATAAGAGGCACAGTGGCCAACCACTGGAAGTTGACCACAACCAACTGACAGCAATCATCAAAGCTGATCCTCTTAAAACTACACGAGAAGTTGCCCAAGAGCTCAATGTCGACCATTCTATGGTCATTTGGCATTTGAAGCAAACTGGAAAGGTGAAGAAGCTCAGTAAGTGGGTGCCCTCATGAGCTGACCGCAAATCAAAGAGGTTATCATTCTGAAGTGTCATCTTCTCTTATTTCATGCAACAAACACAAACCATTTCTCAATCGGATTGTGACTTGTGATGAAAAGTGGATTGTATACAACAACCAGCAACTATCAGTTCAATGGCTGGACCTAGAAGAAGCTCCAAAGTGCTTCCCAAAGCCAAACTTGCACCAAATAAAGGGTCCTGGTCACTGTTTGGTGGTCTGCTGCCAATCTGATCCACTACAGCTTTCTGAATCCCAAAAAAACCATTAGATCTGAGAAGTATGCTCAGCAAATTGATGAGATACACTGAAAACTGCAACACCTGCAGCCAGCACTGGTCAACAGAAAGGACCCAATTCTTCACGACAATGCCCAACAACCTGTCCCACAATCAACATCTCAAAAATTGAACAAATTGGGCCACAACATTTTTGCCTCATCTGCCATATTCACCTGACTTCTTGTCAACCAACTACCACTCCTTCAAGTATCTTGACAACTTTCTGCAGGGAAAACGCTTCCACAACCAGCAGGATACAGAAAATGCTTTCCAAGAGTTCGCTGAATCCTGAAGCATGGATTTTTATGCTACAGGAATAAACAAACTTATTTCTCGTTGACAAAAATGTGTTGCAGTGGTTCCTATTTTTATTAATAAAGAGCTGGTTGAGACTAGTTAAAATGATTTAAAATTCATGGTCCAGAACCATAATTACTTTTGCACCAATCTAATTAATAAATGGGCTTCCCTGGTGGCTCAGAGGGTAAAGCGTCTGCCTACAATGCAGGAGACCTGGGTTCGATCCCTGGGTTGGGAAGATCCCCTGGAGAAGGAAATGGCAACCCACTCCAGTACTCTTGCCTGAAAAATCCCATGGATGGAGAAGCCTGGTAGGCTACAGTACATGGGGTTGCAAAGAGTAGGACACAAATGAGCAACTTAAGGAAGGAATTAATAAATATTTTTTAAAAAGAAAACCTTTTGAGAGTATTGGCAATGTTCAATTTTTTGACCTGAGTGGTGAAACAGTGGTATTATGGTTAGTTGGTAACCTATATATTCATGATTCATAGGCTTTCATCATATTTCACAATTTAGAGAAATTACAGTTCTGAAAATGACAAATCAAGTCAACTTGAGTTGGTTATTTAACCAACACATTTCAACCAGTTGCAGAAAAATGCACAAGTATATTTTAAACTTGCAGAAAAATGTACAAGTGTATTTTGTATATACTTGCAGAAAATGTACAAGTGTATTTTAAAAATTGCAGAAAAATGTAAAAGTATATTTTAAACTTTCAAGCTCAAATATTTGTCTTCAATTCAATAAAAAGCATCAAATAATCACACTCAGAACTTGATGTATAATATACTTTTATATTTTTTTGCACATATCATTTGCCAAATTCATAGAATCTGCTGTCCAAGAAGTAAGTCTGGAAGAAGCAACATCTCTTGCAGACCTAGGCAAGTTTCCAAATTTAAAGGAAGCCATTTTTACAAAAGCTAAGAGGTAAAGAAACGGAGGAAAGCCAATTCAAAAAAATAAATGCTTCTGATTTTTTGGCTTTAATTCAACAAAGGCACAGCTACATAAAGAAAGCTATAACAGCCATTTAAGTGTCACAAAAACGTTTTCTATACTGAAATTTCCATGTGGTGAAAACAGACTGAGTCCTCATAATTTCTATAGTAAAATGGCCCCAACTGACCAGACAGAGACTACCCCATAAAAATACACTAAAATAAAGTATTAAAAGTTGGTATTAAGTCTTATCTTCATATTCCCTTTTCTTAGAGGCAATTACTGCATAGAGAAAGAGAGACCAAAAGTTCTGGATTTTGCAAGTCACTTAAGTAAATCTGTTTCATACCTGTAAAACAGGATGAACAGTGCTTAATTAAGAGTCGTTTCTGATGATCAAAGAGATATATGTGGTTTGTAAAATGGATAGTACTAATCAAACATTAGGCATAATTATTATCTCTTCAAATGCAAGACCTCAGATACTCACACAAGTGTATATATAAGTACTTGAAGAGGATACACATCACATCATTATTTGTAATAGCAGAAGCCTAGAAGAGACCTAAAAGTAAGTATGATCCCAATATTCTATTGCAGATTTCTGAATGGATATCCAAGAAATAAATGGAACTTCGCATATACTTTCACGCTCCAAACTTAACCTTATATACAAATTAACTATGTTTATAATGAACAGGATAACTTTTATAAATTAAAAATATAAAATTTCATTAAAAAACTATATGGTATATTTAAAACCCAGTATTATGAAATATTTATGCTACATAAAAAGTGAAACTTTACCATGTATTCTGAAGGAGCCATAAACTCAATTGTAGCATTTTGAACTTCAGGTCTTCTGTGAGGTTCTCCATAGACTCTGGTCAAAGGGTTGTACATGAATTCTTCAGGAACTATGTGAATTAACAACATACACTGTTAAAACTGAAAGGATTACGTTTAATACAGCTTGCATTTGGCTGTTTTCTTAATTTAGGGATTCATATATAATTCAATATAAACTAAATATTAAAAGCTAAATGCACTTTTTTTTTTTTTAACTTGGCCATGCTGTGAGGCATGTGGGATCCCAATCAGGGATTGAACCTGCTCAATAACCACTGGACTGACAGGGAAGTCTGGGTTAAATATACTTTATTTTTGAGTTCCATTCAATTTCTCTCCATAATGAACAGCACTAAGTATGTTTTGCTTTTATAATTACAAGTACTATGACTTTTCCTATTTTCTAATATCCTTTTTCTCTTAATTCCTGGAACGCTGCTTTCCTAAAATACTTTATGAGGATGATAAAAACTCATTAAGTGCTAATTATTTTCTTAAACACAAGACTAAACTTTGTCTTAAATTTCACAGTGGTACAAGGATAGTAACATTTGATGTTGTTTACAGACTCTGGTTGCCCCTGGAAAGCTACGGCAAAAATACTTCAAAGTATTTTTAGGGTATCAGGGTATGGGGCATGGTGAGTTTCAAAAGTTATTAAGACCTCTATGGAATATCAGCTGCCTTCTGCTTACAAAACACTAGTGCTCCAATATTTTCTAAATTATCACTGCACCTGTCTTCTCAATAACTGTTTAAAACTTCAAATCCCAATATATGCTAAAGGGTAAGCTATAGTTCATGAAATGCTCTGGGCTGCATATGAAAGTGACTTCAACTTTTGTTACAATTTAACTTCATATACCAAAGCACATATACATAAGATTTTAAAGGTGTACTAAACACTATACATACATATATTTTCTGAATTATTACAGCATAAAAAGAATGCTCTTTTTCTACCCTCATTTTCTTCTACTCTAAAAATACAAACAGTAAAAGTGGTTCTCAAAAATATCAGAAGCTCCTCTATTTCCCAATGCTTAATGAAATGTCCTTCTAAACAGATTTTTAGAAAAATTGAAAACTTAATTTTCAATGTGGATATCAGCATGCCCTTTTTCCTTCTCTAATCCTAACAGAATGTTGTTAGGTGATATTTCTCAATATATAAATAGTGAAACAGTTACTGAAGGCTATCTCCTCCTCATTAATTACTGAAAAAACTACATTCAACTAACCTTCTAGCACTGCCCACCTCCCTTCATACAGCAGTGAATGAAGCTAATGGCAGCTATTCTGTGGACTTATTTTCTCTCACCCCAGAGAAAAGGCATGGGACAATTTCTAAATAAAAATATTTCTTAAATTATAGGCTTAAATAATACCATGAAATATGCCATTTATTATATGCCCAATATAATAAATGTAAAAAAGTGGTATCAAAGTAATATTACCATATTTTTTTGCTTAAGAAATATGTAATCATTTATATATAAGTATAAATGCCTAGAAAAAAAGTGAAAAGAAGTTATATCTGAGTGGCAGGATTACACATAAATAAGACAGGAGTTGTTTTTTTTTTTTTTGCTTTTTTAACTTTACATTTATATTATCTGATTCCCAACAATGAATACAATAATGTTAATAAAAAAAACATACCATCATTAACTCGGTAACATAAGTTACATTTCCATCTCCTTTGATCAAGAAAGCTGACAAAAGGGTTGATGTATGTCCTGCATGAACGGCATCTCACAATTGTACTAGAAGTAACCACAGGCAATTGCTGGAAAAAAAAATACAAACTAATTTATTAAAGACAGCAATCATCATGTCTAAGGGTAAAGCAATTAACCCATACAACTGTTGCAATATTATAATTTTCGAGGAAAAACTAGGGTAAAAAATGTGTCCAACCTGCCACACAAAATATTATGTAGCTGACATGTATTGATTTTTAAACCTTAGTGATTTTCCCGAAGACTATTCTCATTAAATTTTGCCTTTTAAAAAGTTTTTATTTTCTCATTAAAAGTTTACATTGCATATACGACACTGTAAAGCAACTATACTCCAATAAAAATTGATTTGAAAAAAGTTTACACTGCAAAATCAACATAGTAAATTTACAATGTATTTCTGAGATGAATGGTGAAGGATCGATCAACATTCAAAAAAAAAAAAATCAATTAAATTATTGGGAAGTTTCTTCATGTTACATTAACAGGCTACTAAGTTCTCATAAAAGAACTATCACAAAGTAAGTTATGGTTTAAATCATATTTCAATGTTTTATTTGACTTGGCAATTATGCTATTTAAAGTTTACCCTACATATTAAAAGATCTAAAGTCTTAAAATCAAAAATCAATAAAGGTAATACAATCCTATTACCAAAAGGAGGTTGGTTATGGGAAAGTCACTTCACTTATGAACTGATCAACTCAAATGAATGTGGTCACGTGTCAAGGTCCCAAAGCCTTAGGACAAAAGTAGAAGGGCTTTTTTTTTCTCTCTCCTTTTTTTGGGAAACAGTTTCTCAAAGCAACAGACTTTACTCCAAGAATAGAAGAACTGGGAGAATAGGTAAAGAATTTTAATGGGTAAACAATTTACAACTTTAAAAAAAAATACTATGGTTCATTTATCTATTTTCTTCAGTACATCTATCCTACTCAGTACCTCCTGAATTTTTCAACAATATGTTTATTTTATCTCGTTGTAAAAGTGTTTGATGATAATCTTTTTGACTGAAATACAAATAAAGGAATTTGTCAATGGTCAAATTCCTAAAGACAGCTCAAACAAAATTCTTGCATTATTATAAAAGATGCCTTACCACTAAGATAATTTCCCACATTTACTTTCACTAATAAAACATACCACTAGGTCTTTAAAAGGATGAAGCAGCAGTCCCAGAGGAAGTTTGGCTTTATTCAGTAAGGCCTGAGTCTGAGGAATGCTAGTCAGTGTGCAGCGAAATAACCTGTATCAAAGTAAAAATCATGTATCAGTTATTACTATGACTAGTTTGGAACAAAAAATTTTCAAGATTTAAAAGGTACATGTTGTAACACTGGATCAGATTATAAATGAAGTATTTAAACAGGCTCTCACAAATTTTATCCTTTCTAAATATTTAAATCCTATTCAGAAAGAAAGGGTAGATGGTTACAATCCCATTTCACATAACAAAACAGTTTCTTCTCAGCTTGTGCATAAGACAGCCTGGACTATCAAAGGACTTACTTTTTCTTTGTATCAATCTAGATTGCACTGGAATTACAAGGTGGTAACCCAAATTTGCAAATGTAAAGTTATATGTATTACCTGAAAGCTCAGTTTTGTATTAGGTTCTAAAAAGGCGGTTTAAAAATAACACATTCAATTTATCAGAAGACTTCATATCTTAAAAACTTCATAAACTTAAACTCACAACCAAATTGAGAAGAGAAAGGCATATTATAATTATGTTTGCTATGAAAAATAATTTAAAATGATAGCAAATAAAGGATTATATAGAATCAAATTTCCACACTTTGGACTTTGAAAATATAATAGAGCCACCATAATGATAATGAATATCATAGTCCCATTAGAGTTGATAAGAGCAACTATCAGATCAAGCATTACAACCTTGTTTCTTTACTTAGAACATTTCAAATATCAAGTAAGCAACTAACAAAGTACTGTTTTGTGCATGCAGACTACTTTCATAAATTAATACACCTACATAGCTTGCTCAAAATACATGAAGCTCAAAAAAAAATCTGGAAGCATTTTAGAACAAGTAAAATGTCATATTCAATAAAAAGTACTGTTTGAAGCCTTACTCTGGGTTACAGTTCAGTTTCTGGATATCTTCATGCAAATTTGGAACTGGAGGCTGCAAAGGTGTCGATGGAAGCATGTTTCTTTCTTGAAGAAGATTGATAACTCTTAGCCCCTCTGGATGTAGGCTTAATCCACTCATACTTGCAGTTAAATGATTAGCACCTAAAGGAGTCTAAAGAAATATAACTTCACATTAAGTAGCCTTTACAATGTCTTCCATTGAAAAGAGAAGCATATATTAATAACAAAACTGTAATCTCGATTTCCTGGTCAATTTTTTTGGTTCTGGAGACATCTAACAGGACAAAAGTCTTATGAAATACTCATTATCATTCTAATTTGGTAAAACAATGTTCACTGTACCTTCCTTAAATGTTTTCAGGTGAATATAGTTTAAAGCAAAAAGCAGAATACAGGTTATTAAAAGAAAAGTATACCTGAGCAAAAGCCTGTGGACCACTTGCGTAATTCAAGGAAGAGGGTGGTATTCCTGTTCCTGTTGTACTAGGTGGTGTTGTGTTCTGATAACCAGGTGGTAAAGAGGGATATGAATATCCAACACTTCGGCTCATTGTGGGATTCTTATTAGTAGGCTGTGATGTTGCTAGAAACAAGGTAACTTTTAAGTTCTATTTTACACTCCAGAGTACTTTAAATCAACACATAGATCCATTAAATTTGTAACTCCAAAATCCTTTGGCTAACTTAATACTTTAACTCATCAATTTTGTAAAATAAAACAAACACTAATAACAAAGTAAGAGCAATGATTAAAATCTAGCTAATGTGGTCTATAGCTATAAACACACGCAGGTTAAGTTTAGTATACTTAATTTACTCTTATGTCATGTACTAAACATTGTATTCAGACTAAAATTTTAATTCAAAACAACTTTAATTAAAATATAATAAATGTTCAAATGGATAAATTTAAATAGATCTGATAAAAGTATACGATAGTCATAAAATCATAATAATAAAGCCCATAATCCCAATTCTAAAGGGGGGAAAAAAAAAACCTAACAGAAAGTCTGAATCCATAGAGACAGAAAATGCTAACAGGAGATACCATTGCACAACCTAATTATTAGGTTTTCTTCTCTGTTTTCTATCAGGAACACCTAAAAAAAATAAAAACTTTCATAGCATCTCACCCAAGAAGCCACCGCCTTCAATCTCATCATAACTATTGTGAACCACCATAGATCCATTATTGGTATTTGATATGATACCTAAGGAGGAAGTTTATTAACAATATTTAAATTAGAACCAGTATTACAATTTCTGCAAGATCTGATCTAGTGTTTAAAATTTATGATAATGTTCCAAATGACAAATAGCTTAAACCACATCCCAGGAAATGTCACGTTGAAATAAAAATTTCAAATAATATAAGATTCTAAATATAGAAAATATATAAAAGTTTCAAATAACTTTATAAACCTCTAAAAAGAATGGTACTTTGTGGAGTTTACAAAATTATATACAATCTGAAAGTTTTAACAGTTTCAAGAGCAGCATTAAAAACTTCTAAGGAGCAGTACACACTAAACTAAGTCACGAAAATCAATACTATTTAAGAATGAGGATAAATACAGATGAGATAAACTATGAGGGTAAAAACCTTTAAAAGAAATACAGAACAGAGTAGAATCTAGAATTAACTCTAAAGTGATATATAGTAATTAGAACAATTGCCTTAGTCCAGCAAACTAAACTAATAATAATAATTTATCACTAAAATTTATTAGCTCTAATTCAGGTATAGAAGAAATCAAATCAGTGAACAGCATCACCTCTAGCACCTACAAATAAATGTGTTAACTTTTAACAGTCATTTTAATACCAAATAGATAAGTTTAATGACTTCAATAAAGTTAGTAACTCCTTTCCAATTCTCAAGACCACCATGACTTTACCCATGAGTTGATATATTAATAGAAAATCTTGGTAATCTTGTAGAAACAAAAACACTGAGCATATTTTTATTTATTTACTTTTGGCTGTGCTGGGTCTTAGTTACTGCACATGTTTTTCTCTAATTGCAGCAAGCAGGGCTACTCTCCAGGAGCTACGTGAGGGCTTCTCATTGCAGTGCTACTCTTTTGCAAATGGGCTCTAGGTTGTGTGGCTTCAGTAACTGTGGCATGTGGGCTCAGCAGCTGCAGCTCCTGGGCTCTAGGGCACAGGTTTGGTTGCTCTGTGGCATGTGGGATCTTTCCAGCCAAGAGATCAAACCCATGTCTGCTGCATTGGCAGGTGGATTCTTTACCACTGAGCCACCAGGAAAGCCCTGAGCATATTTTTAGTTGCCTAAAAGTTTAAATACTTATTCTAGCTTGATTTTCAAAATTATCATGTGAGACACAACTTTATCATTTTGTTACTCATTGTTAACATGATCCTTTTCAAATTATACACAGGTCAGTTTTTTCCCCTACTAACAATACTAAAAAAAGGAAATGGTAGGAGAAAATACAAAAATGATAATATTGATTGTACTGAGTTGTAGAATATGGGCAGTGGCTTTTCCCTCTCTTCTTCTGTTTTCCTATTTCCAATCTTGTTACAATGGTTATATTATACCTAAAATCCAATTTCTTACTTTACAAAACATTTTAAGTTAATAAACTTGTATTTTAAAGTTACATCTGAAGATAATGGTTTAAAACTATAAAGCATGAAAATGTTTTTACATTTTACTTTTTATTTAGGCTTATAAATGTTTGTTAACAGTGGAGTTTGTCAACAGTAATGGTGGTAATCAAAAACCTGCTTCCACAAAAAAGAGCCGATATATTAAAAATATAGCTTCAACATCATGTCCAGAAAAGCAAAAGTCCCCCTCTCACCTCCCTCTACCAAGAGATACGTAACTTTATAGCCATGATTTTTAAAGTCTGCACAGTAACAAAAAAAGTTAACAGTGATCCCAAAGGCTAGTCCACAGCCCAGAATAGAGGAATGGAAAACTGAGAAATTTTTTTAAACCCTAAATTCCTAAGGGGCATCTCAAACCAAAACAACCAGATTTTCTGGAAAAATATGACTTGTGTGCACAGAATTCAGAGAATATTAATCCTTCCAGCCTGAGTCAAAACTTTAGGACTTGACTTGGTTTTTGTCCTGCTTACCTTCTTGGTTGCTAGTTGAATTAAATGAGGGCTGGGGCACAGTTTTAGGTGTCAATTTCCGAGGAGTAAGGGCCCTCACTGGAGGTGGTCCTCCAGTTGGAGGGGGGCCAAGAGGAGCTCCTGGTTGAAAAGTGGTAGGCAGAGGTGGATTTGCTAAGGGCAGTGCAGACCCTATGGAAACAATGGTTTTTCACACGTCACTTAAGAACTTAAGAAAAAGGCCAAAACAGCCTTCCACCAACTCTAAATAACTTCCAAATTTATATTTTCATTATAAACCAACAAATTACTACAAATAAGTTAACTTCCCAGATTGACTGTCTAATTTCACATGCATACTTTACACATTTCCAAATCTCTCCTACCATAATTCTTGTGTGTGTGTGTGTGTGTGTGTGTGTGTGTGTGTGTATGCGCGCACTCAGTCACTCAGTTGTGTCACTCTTTGTAATCCTATAGACTGTAGTTCATGGAATTCTCCAGGCAAGAATACTGGAGTGGGTTGCCATTCCCCACTCCAGGGGATCTTCTCAACCGAGGGATCGAACCCAAGTCTCCTGTGTCTCCTTCACTGGCAGGCAAATTCTTTACTGCTGTGCCACCTGGGAGGCCACCATAATTCTTACCTGTCAATTATTAAAGCAATATAAAGTTGGGATCAAATCACTTACAGAGTAGACACAATGCCCTGTTTATTGCTTAATTTTTATTAACTGGTCACAGAGTTTCAACAGGCTATGTCAAGTATTGAAGTAGAAATTAACATGAATAAAATTTTATAGAGTACTTATCAATATAGCCCATTCGATTACCATCAATTAGGGTTAGATTTAGCTTTCTAAAATTACAAAGTATTCTGGTTATCCTAAATTCCCCAAGTTTTATCTCATTTTGCTTCATTTTTATTGGGGGTATAACCTGTTAATATTAAATAATAAATGTGTACACTGTTTATAGTGTTAACCCAGTAATAATTAAAAGCAGGTTACTTTCAATAATGACTTACATCCTATATTAGAATACTCCCTAGGCTTAAAAATCAGGAAATGATCCAAAGTTTATGTATAAACCTTATGAAACACTGCTATCCAAAATGCTTAAAAGTATCCATCAAACTAACCTAAAAAATATCATGGTATTCATCCTTGTATCTACCATTATCTCACTGCCTAAATTTCACCAATTTTCTATTAGGGTAGTAAGTTCTACTCTTGAGGAAATTCTGTGTGATATGGAAAGTTCCAAAACCCACAACCAACTTCTCATTTGCCAAAAAGGAGCAATAGTCTACAAAGTAGATAAAATACTACTGATTAAATACATGTGATTTAAATTTTCATTATAATACTTGTTTTTTTATCTTTTGAATTTAATATATTCTATCTGTGTTTTATAAAATTGAAGGAATAAGGACACCAAATATAAAAATTTTCAGTGTCTCTTCAATATTGCTGAATTCTTCAGTGCTAAGTCACTTCAGTCATGTCCAACTCTTTGTGACCCCATGGACTGGAGCCCACCAGCCTCCTCTGTCCATGGGTTTCTCCAAGCAAGAATGCTGGAGTGGGTAGCCATTCCCTTCTCCAGGGGATGTTCCCAACTCAGGAACCAAACTGAAAAATGATCTTCCAACAAGACTAGTCAGTGCCCTGTTGTCAAAAGTGAAGATAGAGATTACTGCCATGGAACTCCCCTATCGAAGAATAGAGACCAGTCAAAGGAACAAAAGGGCAAGGTACATTACCAACTCAGCATGAACAAGAATGTATGATACATCTGGCAGATGTAAGAACCTAATGTTTAACAGAATACAAGTGAGCTTATTGAGATTTTTCACAGCTTAAGAGGAATACTGTTGAATCCAGAATAAGCTACGTTTCATAAAATAGACTTTATTTTTTCAAGCTGAATGACTCTTATTTAGAACATTAATAGCTAGAGTTTCAGAATCTGGCTTCTGAGATCTCTAAAACTAATTACATGCTAAAAGCTGGCCTATAAGAAAAGAAAAAGTTAAGAGAATTTTAATATGTGAACTATATATTTTGCATAACTTAGATACAGTTTTGAGATCAGACAGTTAGGCATCTACCAACAATGATGAAAAAACAGAGGTAAAAATCAGGGAATTTTTTGAGGTCTCATTAAGAAAAGAGAAGAGCAGTCAAATAGTTCTTTCAGCAGTCATATGCTTCTTTTACACAGAAACCTTCCTAAATTTTGGCACTTCCTTACGTCTCTGTCACTACATCTGTGCTATAATCAATGTGCTCTACCTCGGGGCACCTCAGGGCGGTCTACCTTCTGTTATAGTCAAAAATTTCAGAGTATTGATCACATGCTTTGTAATGAGAGGTTACACTTACTTCCAAGTAGTTTTTATTTTTTAATTTTTAAAAAAAATATTTATTTATTTGGCTGCATTGGGTATTAGTTGCAGCATGTGAGATCTTTAGTTGTGGTATGTGGGATGTAGTTCCCTGACCAGGGATTGAACGTGGGTCCCCTGCACTGGGGACATGGAGTGTTAGCCACTAGATCACTAGGGAAGTCCCCCAAATGGTTTTTAAATAGTACTTTTTCCTAACCTATTTTCTTGTGGCTTTGGGCAAATTATTCAAGCCTCACATTTCTTAACTGTAAAACATACTGCTATAAAAATTAAATAAGATAACACACATTCAAGTTTGGTAAAATGCCGGAAAATAACAAATATTCAATAAATGTTATAAAGAAGTGAATGTTCATTAATTTCAAATGATTAATGCTCACTCACAGTGTCAAATAAATAAGAATACAAGTAATCAGAAGGATTTTGGTTCTAACAATGATAGGTCAGAAGATCTCGCCAAAGAAACCAAGTTTCTAGAAGCACCCTTAATCTTTACAAGACCAGAATGCATTCACCAAGGTTAGTGGCTAGTCAAGAGGCTAAGAAAAACAGTTTGAGCAGTTAACAAACTATAAAATGCAAGAAGTCCATGTAGTATCTAGATGCATAAATACATATTAACATAAAAAGGTAACAACTGATAATACCATTTCACTTGAAAACTTACTAGTTCATTTCCTTGAGGATATCTGCTGAACAAAATCAATCTGCAGATCCCAATACAGAATCTGAATTAATAGCAAAAAAGGAATAGTAAAAAAAAAAAATAGTGAAATGGTTAAATGAACCTACTTTTGAACCACATATGACCAAACAATGAGGTTAAAAAGATTTAATGATCAAAGTGAGTTCAAGAATACATAGCTTTCTTCCCAAACTGATGTACAGATTCAGCACAATCTCTATCAAAATCACAGCTATCTTTTTTTTTTCCCAAAAAAATTTACAAGCTGATCCTAAAATTCTGAAGGAAATGCAAGGGACTGAGGACAGATAGAACAATCTTGGGAAAAAAAAATAGTTGGAGGAGTCAATATTTCCAAACTCAAAGCTTACCATAAAGCAATAGTAATCAAGATGTTTGGTAACAGTATAAAAATAGACAAATAGATCAATGGAACAGAATTCAAAGTCCAGAAATAAATCCTACATTTATGATCAACATAACCCTTATTTTCAACAGGGGTGCCAAGATCATTCAATGGGAGGAAGAACACACTTTCTATTAAAGTGTGTTCTATAGTTGTCCTAGGACAACTATATATCTACATGCACAAGAATAAAGTTAAATCCCTACCTACTAACACCATATGGTCTTCCCTGATAGCTCAGTTAAAGAATCTGCCTGCAATGCAGGAGACCCCAGTTCAATTCCTGGGTCGGGAAGATCCCCTGAAGAAGGGATAGGCTACCCACTCCAGTATTCTTGGGCTTCCCTTGTGGCTCAGCTGGTAAAGAATCCGCCCGCAATGCGGGAGACCTGGGTTCGATCCTTGGGTTGGGAAGATCCCCTGGAGAAGGGTAAGGCTACCCACTTCGGTATTCTGGCCTAGAGAATTCCAAGGACTATATAGTCCATGGAGTCACAAAGAGTCAGACATGACTGAGCAACTTTCACTAAAAACACCATATACAAAAATTAACTCAAATTTGATCAAACACCTAAACGTAGGAACTAAAGTTATAAAACCTTAGAAAAAAAATGCAGGGATAAACCTCTGTGCATGGCTTTCTGACCACAGATGGGCTTAATAGTACTTCTCACTCCAAAAGTAAGTCTGTTTTCACTGCCCCTCCAAGATTCTTGGATTTCTGGAGTCAAAAACTGTCTGGGCCTTAACAAATAGATAAGCCAAGCCTTAGATCAAGTCCAAAGAGAGACCACAGGGATTGAGTTTCCCTAGAATACAAGATGGAACCTTGCTAATGTAAGTACTGGCCAGTCCTCAAGGAAGTGATTCTGCACATATACCTGAAACCCTAAAATATCACAGGTGACCCAAAGAAACTCAGATAATACCTTCAAAGGAAAGAAGCAAAGCAGAAACAATCATGATTTTAACTTAACACAAAAGTTACAGAAATAATCTAAAGATTAACAGTGATCAAAAAAATAAAGTCTTCCACATGATTTTAAGACCAAAATAGTAATTTAAACATTTAAAATAAGCAAAATTTTCCTATTTCTAGCACTCCTATAAGAACTCTACCTGATTTTATGACGTTGTTTTGAAGTGAAGTATCTCCAGAAGAAACATATTGAGGACTCATCAAATTTGTATTCCCAGTCATGGTTGGTTGGGATGACGCACGAGGACAATGGTTTGTCTGTGACAAATAGTTATACTGCCAATTCGAAGGTGATGGTACGCTGGCTCCAGGAAGAAAGCTACCAGAAGGCATTGGTGTAGCAGCTGGGTTCTGAGAAGTAGGTAGTGGCATTTGGGGACTAGGACCACTATGGAGTGAAGGTGTCACTGGATGAGAAGCCACAGGTGGTCCATAGAGAGCTTGTCCATGTCTCTGATAATTACTTAACGGAGAAACAGTCTGGGAACTACCAGAGTTAGACTGTCCGGAGACTGGATTCAAGGTCTTTGCTGGTATTAGATGAGGGTAGGATCCTGTAAGCTGAGAATTATACCCTTGGCTCACTGACACTTGTGAAGACAGGAGGGCATTCTGGACAGGACCTTCCAATAAGAGAAGGAAAAATTAAGTCTTACAAACAAACAAAGCAATACTTTAAAAAATACAGTAAAATATATGCTACTCTTACAACTCAACAACAAAAAGACAAATAACCTAATTAAAAATGAGCAAAAGCTTTAAATAGTATTCAAATATACTTCAAAAGACATAAACAAATGGCAAAATGTTCAACATTATTAGTCTTAAGAGAAGTGCAAATCAAAACCACAATGAGATATCACTTATACTAGGATGGTTAAAAAGAAAAAGACGGCAAATAACAAACGTTGACAAGGATGTGGAAAAATTGGAACCCTCATACTTTGCTAGTGGAAATGTAAAACAGTGCAACTGCACTGGAAAGCAATCTGGCAGTTCTTCAAAATGTTAAACATAGATATCATATAATCCAGCAATTCCACTCTTGGTCTCCATAAAAACTTGTAGACAAATGTTGATAATATTTTTTTTTTAATAGCCACAAAGGAGAAACATTCAACTGTCCACTAACTACTGAACAGATAAACAAAAGGGGCATAACCATACAATGGAATATTACTTGGTCATAAAAAGGAATGAAGTACTGCTGGCAAGCTATAACACAGATGAACCTTGAAACTTTATAATAAGTGAAAGGCACTACTCACAAAAGACCATATGCTGCATGAATCATTTATATAAAATGTCCAGAACAGAAAAACCCAAAGACACAGAGGTAGATTTGTGGTTAGGAAGAGGGAATAGTGAGTAACTGCTAATGGGTATGGGGTTTCTTTTTTGCGGTGATAAAGATATATTATTTATTTATTTCAGTTGGAGGCTAATTACTTTACAACATTGTAGTGGTTTTTGCCATACATTGATATGAATCAGCCATGGGTTTAATGCATTCCCCATCCTGAACCCCCCTCCCACCTCTCTCCCCATCCCATCCCTATGGGTTTTAGAGTTGGTTATAGTGATGGTTGCAATTTTTAGTAAGTATACTAACAAATCATTGAACTGTACATTTAAAAAAACTTTTTTTCATTTTATTTTTGGCTACACTGGGTCTTCACTGCTGCACACAAGCCAAGGCAACTCTCTAGTTGCAGGGTGTAGGCTTCTCACTGTGGCGGTTTCTCTTGTTGCAGAGCATGGGCTCTAGGGCACGTGGGGTTCAGTTGCTTTTAGTTGCACCGTGGCATGTGGAATCTTCCAAGACCAGGGATGGAACTCATGTCCCCTGCATTGGCAGGCAGATTCTTAGCCACTGGACCATTATGGAAGTCCTGACTATACATTTTAAAGCTGTTATATATATAAAAATTTTATCTCTAGAATCACCACTTCTCAGGAATATAGTCACTTCTTCCCATAAAACTAGAAAATGAAAAGAAATAAGATGAATATTTTTTAAAAGGTGGCACTCATACAAAACTAACTCCTGTGGACTCTCTACATTTAAGAGATATAACAAAAAAAAACAAAAAACAAAAAAACAAAACCAAAAAAAAGAGATATAACAAAAAAAAATACTTATCTTCCAATCATACCCTCTCAATCCATGCAACCACAGTACAAATACCATTAGTTTAATTTGAACCCTTTCATTAATTACACAATACTTATACAAACATACACAAGTATATATATATATAAAAGGAGAGGGAGGATTGTGTATGTGTAAAGCACATACACATAAGTAGTATGTATCTGGGGAACGCTAGTAAATAAGCATTCAGTTCAGTTCAGTTGCTCAGTCGTGTCCGACTCTTTGTGACTCCATGAACCGCAGCACGCCAGGCCTCCCTGTCCATTACCAACTCCCAGGGTCCACCCTAACTCATGTCCATAATGTCGGTGATGCCATCCAACCATCTCATCCTCTGTCGTCCCCTTCTCCTGCCTTCAATCTTTCCCAACATCAGGGTCTTTTCAAATGAGTCAGCTCTGCGCATCAGATCTTTCCCAACATCAAGGTCTTTTCAAATGAGTCAGCTCTCCACATCAGGTGGCCAAAGTATTGGAGTTTCAGCTTCAGCATCAGTCCTTCCAATGAACACCCAGGACTGATCTCCTTCAGGATGGACTGGTTGGATCTCCTTGCAGTCCAAGGGACTCTCAAGAGTCTTCTCTAACATCACAGTTCAAAAGCATCAATTCTTCTTGCGCTCAGCTTTCTTTATCATCCAACTCTCACATCCATACATGACTACTGGAAAAACCATAGCCCTGACTGGACAGACCTTTGTTGACAAAGTAACGTCTCTGCTTTTTAATATGCTGTCTAGGTTGGTCATAACTTTCCTTCCAACGAGTAAGCGTCTTTTAATTTCGTGGCTACAGTCACCATCTATATGCATTACTCTGCCAAAAATTTTTTTAAAAATACAGGTATTCTTTCAGAACAAAAGACACAGATCCACATGTGTTAGCTGACTAATTGTTTATAATAATGAAAAATTGGAAACAAATATTCATCATCAGGAGACTGAATAAATTGTAATTATTCACACAACAGACTAATTATGAATAAAATGAATAAACCAGATGTACATCTATCAATTTAGATAAACTACAAAAAGAAAACTAAGGACTTCCCTGGTGGTCCACTGGTTAAGAATCTGCCTGCCAATGCAGGGGACATACATTTGACCTCTGGTCTGGGAAGATTCCACATCCTGAGGAGCAATGAAACCTGTGTGCCACAACTGCTGAGACTGTACATCCTGGAGCCTGTGCTTTGCAACAAGAAAAGCCAAAACCGCCGAAATGAGAAGCCCACACATTGCAACTAGAGAGTAGCCCCTGCTCACTGCAACTAGAGAAAGACCTCACGTACCAACAAAGACCCAGCACAGTCAAAAATTAATAAAATATTTAAGAAAAGAATACTGAGAAAAAAGGAAGTTATAGAGAAAGAAGTATGATATCTTTCTTACATAAATCTTTTGATTATGAAAATTTTCATACATAACACAAAAATATAAGACCACTTTTTGCAGTCTCCCACACACAAAACAGTGAAATATCAATAGGAAATATATTTGATTTATGTATTCATTTTGGATTGTTTGACATTTATGATAGAAAATCTTTCTTTCAGGAATTCTCTGACAGTCCATTGGTTAGGAGTCCACGCTTTCACTTCAGAGGGCCAGGGTTTGATCCCTGGATGAGAAACTAAGAAACCCCAAGCTGTGCAATAGTCACACACACACACAAAAACAACTTTCTTTCTCTCATAAACATGATATGTCTCTCCATTTATTCAAAACTGTTTTATATAATCCAATTATATTTCATGCTTTTTTTGTAAATGTATCTTCCTTTAAATTAAATGTAGTTAACTTGATACTAGGGATTCTGTAGTTTGTAAATTACTATGAATAGAACATTTACTTTCACTTCTAACTAGTAAAAGGCTATCAAGTATTCAAAGTACCATAAATGCCCAATTATAAGGTGAGATTTTCCTCAAAAATTATTTCTCAAAAAAGAAGGCACCATACAAGTCTCTACAAACATTCTCATTGTACAATAATACTTTGTCCTAGTGGATTAACACTGTTTCAAACAGTAGGTACGATAAATTAATGAGTTACAAAATGAATAAGCTATAAACTATCTTTTTAGTTAAGAAATAGAAGGCAAGAATGGAAAATATTGCAGGATATCAAATGTAATAAAGGTAAGTATTATGAGGTTTCATTACAAATATAAACACATATGAATATGTATACTGGGTCACTATTTAAAATGTATATCTTACTGTAGATTATAGTCAAAGTCTGAAAGCCCGTGATCAGCTGATACCTTTGAATCTTCTTTCATCCCTCTAAGATTTATTCCTTACACATCCTATTACCTTTTAAAACATGGATCAGATCAACTTCCGACTCAAAACTTCCAAAGTCCTTATCTTAGCTTATAAGATCCTCTATGTCCCTGGCTTCCCCTCTGGTCTCATTTCCGACTTCCTTTGTTAAAAAATTTTGAACATTCATTTTATTTTAATGAAACAGTGCCAGGATAATACATATGTTGTTTCTGATCTGGAAGTAAGTATCCTGAAGTCTTCTGATTCTATTTGTTTTTTCCTGTTCTTGCAGCAGATTTTAATATAAAGTTCAATTTTCCTTTAAGATTAGGTTTAACAGATTATGCCAACACAGATAAGAAAACAGCCAATGTCTTGAACCACAGATTCATTAGTTCTATATTTGTCATATTAATTACACATGGTTCTTTTCTTATTAGGCTGTTCCCATCCTAATTTGATTTTGCTTTCAGTTAATAATACCTGTTCATCTGTATGGGCCAAGGGGTCTTTTTATCTGGTATCTCTAATTTTGGAAAGATGTCTATGCAGGGCTATGTTTAAGCCAAGTTGGCGCAGATCTGCAGTTCTAAACAAACACACACCTTTATAACTCTACCTTATATCAGTTGATCATATAATCTAAAATGACTTAATAATTTCCACTCAAGACTGAAAACCCTTTTCAAATATGTACATATAATAGAACCCAAAATCTTTGAGTGTAACAGCTTCTGGTAAGGTCACTATGTCAACTGACATCAATTACTCTACTTTAATAGCTAAAGGCATTTTACTATTCAAATAATTTCCTACTCTTTCTCTCTACTCAGCTCCAGTCACATTCACCTTCTTAATGCTCCTTCAACAAGCTTAAAAATGCTTCTACTGTAGGGTTTGTCACTATTTTCTCCACCTAGAATACTCTTCCCCCAGATATAATCTCACTCCATCTCTTCATTCAAGTCTCTCTCAGACACAATCTCCTCAACAGAGGCATTGTCTGAACACTGCATCTAAAACAGAAACTCTTTCATTCTCTTCCCCTCTGACTCTGTCTTATTTTTCTTTCCAGTGTTTACCCGACACTATGTTATTTATTTATAGTATCTACTTCACTATAACATAAGCTCCAAGAAGGTAGGGATTTCTTTTGATCATTACTGTATTCTCAGCACCTAAAATGTGCCTATTACATAG